GAGTTCCCAGCTCACTCGAGCGAGGCGACGACCTCTTCCGGCGCCACCCGAAGGTGGTGCAGAAGCTCTGCGCGGGTCCTCAGGTCCTCAGGTCCCTCAGGTCCTCGGGTCCTCAGGGTTCGATCGAAAGCAGTTTGGGGGTTCAATCGCTCGCTGGCTGCTCAGAGTTGGGTTCAATCCCTTGGTGGCAACCCCAGCCATCCAGTTCCTTAGCTTTTTAGACTTTCAGTGCTCAGGAAGGGGGGTTTCCAATTTTAGCTTTTTAAGACCTTCAGTGTTTAGTGGGGAATCCACTTGACCCACTAAGAGTTAAACTTTTAGCAGAGGATCAGAAAACGGGCAGCCCAGAATCGCTGGCCGCGAGAAGTAGGGACTTATTATCCATGCAACTTTGGTGGTTTTCTTTCAGGGAGGGAAGGAGAAATGGAATGAACCGCGTATAACTCATAAACCATCCAACTTTGGTGGTTTCTTTTTTTCGGGGACCAAAGCCTGGGTCCATTCCCATATTCCAACTACTCAGCACCAGCAAATAGCAAGATCATTTTTATCCAACCACTGTGATATCTTCGAGAATCTCCCCCTTGAAAGAAGGGCTTTGGGGTTAGGCCCTTTGTGTTGTATCGCAGAAGTGGATGTCATTGCCCAGGGTTCAATGAATGAATCAACAATTTTACTCTGTGGATCCATTTGACTGTATTGGAAGGAACCTGGCTGGCTACTGTAAGGGTAGCTGGAATCCACTGGCTTGCAGTGCTTCCTCTCCCTCGCCCTTCCCAATGCGTTTTGCGAGCTTGTAGGTCATGAGGGAGAGTACCAAAATCGGCCGGATGCTTGTTGCCATTGGGGACCTCTAGGTGGCTTCCCTGTGTTCCCTTTGAAACCATCCAAAAAGGTTCTTTGTTCGCGGACAATGTGAGCATCCAAAGGAGCCCACTGACACCCATTCAACGGGTCACCGAGTCGTGCCACCGCTTTTCTCAGGGGCAGTTGAGACCCCCGACACCCTTGGACCATACTATGGATGGTTGCGAAATCCACTTCGCACCACCTAAGAAACCAGGAGAAGCCACAGCGTTTGTGGGTGTCTACGTCGTCATAAATCATTCCCTTGGGTTCAGAATAAACGGTGCTAAAGAGGACGTCGCAACCATCCACAGGGGGTTTCGTAATCATCGTGGCTTTCGACTAGCTTCCCTAGGTCCCCCAGTAGTGCCCTTTCTCACCCCGTTTTTGGTTGGGAGGGTTCCCCTACTAAAATAGACAACAGAAAAAGTTGGTACCCACTTTTTCCAGCCTCTTTATTGGAGCACCTAGTTCCATTTACCAACAAAGGGTCCGAATCTCGGAAGAACTCCCAACTTCGCAACCCCCGGGTTTAGCGGGTTCAGCCCCATCTTTGGACATGGGTATCATGGGGGTTGATCGGAAGGTCGGAAACCCACCAAAAAGATTTGATCTGTCCCACAAAGGTACCCTTGGGCATGGGGCCAGGAATACGGATCAACCCCCCATATGTGTCAAAAAATAGGGGTACCCACAACATGGCGCGCTTTCCGGTTGGTTTCCCTTTTTGCACACCCTTCTTTTGAGCAACCCCCACAAACTGATCAACCCCATGCCAAACTAGAGACCCGAGCTTGGCCGACATGAGCCACTAACTTCGGCTCGCGTGGTCCGACGCTCAACATGAGCGTGGTGTCTATATGCCAACATGTGAACATACACGTGCGCATGTAGACCCATATATATATATATACTTAATATATGCTACCCCCCCCCAAAAACAAAAACAAAAAACAAAAACACAGAGAAGCACCTTTTTGATCTGTGGGGAGAATGAACAGAATCTCACATATACATATATATATATTTATATGTATAACATATGTACTCACATTTGAATACACAGGTACATGTTTATGCCATATGCACGCACTATGACAAACAAACAGATACAGACGACAAATACAAACTTACACACACAAACGGGCATGTATGTATGCATACATATACAGGCATATATTTATACATATATATATATATATTATATGAATATGTATGTATATATATATATACATATGTATATATATATATATATTCATGTACATATGCGTATAGGCCTGTGTAGATTTGTACAACGCCCGTTTCGCCCGGGGCGAAAGAAATCTGCGACCGAGGCCAAGAGTCCCCCACGATGTTGCCGCACCTCATGGATGGCCTGCTCTGGCGGTCCCGCGTGGCCGGTCAAGGCCGGCGGGCGGCTGGCTGGGGGGTGCGTTCGTTGCCCCGGGCGGAAAGCGGCGCGGCGTTTTTCCGGCCCAGCCGTTTTTGCGGGGCCGGCCATGTCTGACACCTTTGCAACTCAGGCAAACTTTGTACAGGACGACCTTTTTGGTCGAAAATACCTGAAAAGAGAGAGTCGAAATGCAGAAGTTGTGCCTTTTGGAACGGTTTTGCATGTAGAGAAGGAGAATTGCAACAGCGAAAGAGCTCAACAGCTGCGAGAGGGTTCCTTTTATCCTGGCTTCCTGGAGGACCCACTGGAGGGTTTTCACCGGGAAAAAAGAAAGAACAAACAACCGGAAGACGGAGTCGTATGCCGTGCAAACAGGCCCGGATTGGCGAGGCGAGCCCTAGTAGGCAACCCTTTTCCATTTTCCTTTTGGTTTTTAAAGGGTGGCAAGCCCTTGGTTACCAGCCTTTAGCAGGTAAATGGATCCACAGTGTAAATGGAAACCCAATCATGAAACCAACTACAAGAACCTTCAAAGCCTAGTACCTGTACGGGTAAGTGGAATCACGATCTCAGAGGGCAGGGGACAAGATGTCCGAAAGCCGATTCTCGCTTGGATCCGGATATCCTCAGGAAAGCGACGGGTGAACTACTACGTCAAGCCCTTTGGACGCAGCACGTGGTTCGTGTCCTCGCCAGTTGGATCTGACAGGAACTTGGTGATTCATGGCTTCCGCGTGGCTGTGGCTGAACATTAAGCGGCGGCTCCGCAGGTTTGATCGTCCTTTGCACATGCCAAGGTGTGATTTTGGGGACTCCATTGTTTGAGCCACAGCCATGTGGCAGTGGAAGGATGCACTGGACTTCGTTATTGTACTTGCCAATCATTTGCTAAGCTGATTGTCGGGTTTAGCTACACTTGAGCAGTTGTTGAGGTGCCAAAGGATTCGCAGCTCCTTTGGGCAAAGTGGTGAACAGAGCTGGCGTGAAGGATTCTGAATTGATGTTCCATAGCGCCCAGCTCGATATTGTGTCTTTGTGTCATGTACGTGATCAGTCTGAGATGGAGCCACCAGACTGAATCTGATTGGGCGCGGATCGTTGGGCAGAGCTGCCGCAATCCCTGCATTCACGCGGAACATTTGCCTTTATAGCGAGCACGCCGATTGGGGGGGGAAGAGACAAAGACGTGATGAAGGTCCTTGGGCATCCAATTCTTCAATAAGGTTCTGTCATTTCTGTAAACTCGATCTTTCCACGGCTAATGACTTCAAATGATTTTAGCCTTTTTAGTGTGTGTCTGTGTGTCTGTGTGTCTGTGTGTCTGTGTGTCTGTGTGTGTATTTGTATTTGTGCGTCACAGCGTTAAAGCACTGCTATGAAGTCATTGAGCCATCAGTTTGGTTTGGTTCGGGGGAGGGGTGCAGCAACGACTTGGATTGTTCCTCACAGACTTTTCACAGCAAATGATACCAGGGGGCACGCAGGATAGTCTACCTTCGGTTCAGATATATGTGCCGTCCGTGTTACATGAAAATGAGTGTTCTGCTATGCAACTGGCTGGGCCGATCATAACCTCACTGTTTGTCAAGAGGCTGTTGGCCCTTGGAACCTCGTGCTCCCTTAGGAAAGGGACCCTGCTGTGGATGGACAAATCCTGCACCAGTTGGCATGCTCATAAAATACTGGGATGCACCACCCACCAACCAGTGCGACTTGGATTTGCCCATCAGTATGGCCGTCATTGAAAGGCGCGAATCACAGGGTTTCCTCCATCTCCCTTTTTGGAACCTGCGAGGGTGGCGATCGTTTCAGTGGAAGCCACCAGTCAGATGCAACTTGTCTTTGGTGCATTTTGCCAAGGGATGTTAGGACTTCAACTTTTTGCCAACTCATGGGCTTTCCATTAAACCACTAGAAGTTCAACTTTTTGCAGGGGAGCAGATTTCGCCACCGAGTGATTCGGGGAACTCCAGTGACCCCATCAAGGCGAGGCCCCAGATCCAACCTCCAAGGCATCTTCTGCAAGACGAGGAGGGCGGTTTCAACCAGGCGCGGTCGTGACGTAGGAACTTTTCTGCGCCCGTTTTGGTGGTGGTTGTTGGGACACATTTTACATTGTTGCTTATTGTGGTTTAGTGGGAAATCCCCACTTAACAATGTAGATGTTTGCTCCCCCTGCCAACGTCAACCAAGTGGCGGTGGAACGGCACGTTCGTGGGCATTGCTAGTGCAATGGGGTCACAAAAAATTGCCGGGCTGTTCAACTCTGCAAGATCCTTAGCGAAGGGACTATTTTAGAGGCGTTCCCTTGGTGATTTTCAAAAATCATAATTTTAAGGATTGGGATTGGGATCCCACACAAACCGTTCTGAACACAGAAAGACAGATCTTAGAATCAGGACACTTTTTGGCAGGGTTCCTTCCAACTAACGTGGCAGCTGTGTGGAGGCACCTGAAAAAAAGAAAAGTTTGCTTTTGAAGGGAGCCCGTGTCTGTTGCCATGTTCGGAGGGAGGGTAGAACCAGGGAGCTTTTCATGGTTGTTGTTGGGAAACATTTTACATCTTTGCTTCTTGTGGTTTAGAGGGAACTCCCCACCACCTAGCTGCTAAGATCTGAGAATCTTTGCTCCCCTAGCCCAACGTCAACCCAGTTTTTGGGATCGTTTTTTTCTCATCCCGTAAGTCGATCCAGGCCCATAGGCTTGCGAGTCGATCCATCTCACGCGAGGTTAATCCAAGTTGGATTGGCCGCTTGCACATTGAGCGCGGTTCGACGTTCGATGTTCCATGACTTAGCTTCCTCTTTCGGCGTGGTGTGGTGCTGTATCATTTGTTCATGAAACTGGCCGTTCCCATGTGGGCTGGCGCATTTTTTGGTTGGCCTGGTGCGCATTCAAGTTCCACCAGCTCCCCGCAAACTGCGGCCCGCCGGTTTGGAGGTGTCAGGGCTTTCCTATTTACGCGCAAGAGCCAGGGCTTGAGGTCCAAATTCACCAATCTTGCTGGTGCGTAGGGAATGCGCCAGGGTTTGGGAAGGAACCTGGAGATTCCCTGAAAGGAAGTTCCATGGGGGATGGGTAAAAGGAGTCATTCCAACTCATTCCCTGCCTATCAAACCCCGCCTGATCCAAATCAATCCAAGCCACCAAGGGGTGGATCGCAAATGCCGGAAGATGTTCTTCGTAAATATAAAGATTATATGTCTTTCTTCGATATCTAATTTGAATAGAGTTGTGAGTCCCATTTTCAGAACGACTTAGTATAATTTACGTGCCTAATATATCGTTAAGTTCCAAAACGAGGCACCGCGCCGCCCAACGAGCTGCGCCGCGATCGAAACTCGAGCGAGGCCTTGGAGTGGCTGGTGGAGCTGAAGGATCCGAAAGTCATCAGCCACCCCGTGGTTGTGCCAAACTGAGCTGAGTGAACGGACGGGGTGGGGAGCTGAAACCAAGACAATACATATATACATAATCATAACGACTAGACTATACATATATACATATATATATGTACATGTATATACAAATATATATATATATATATATAGATGGTTGGCTTTGATGGTTTCCCAATGGAATCCCTCTCCTCTGAGAGCTTTCCGGCGGTCGACCTCCAACAACCCGTGCTTCGCTCGCCGCGACCCCAACTCCCTGCACCGCTGTGTCGCTCCGAGGCACCGTGACCAGGCTAACTTTTGAGCGTAAGGAGCTGAAACCCGCGAGGGCGTCTCGCGCGAGCTTCTTCTTTTGCCTTGTGTCGGAGAGCTAGCTTTCAATGAGTGGAGGTTCCTTCTAAACTTCAATTGATGTGCAGGCCAACCAACCAAGACCAACCAAATGCAAGCAAGCCCCACAACCACTCCACAGGGCGAGCATGGTGTTTGTCCAAGCCAACCCTAGACCAGCCTTAGTCAACCAAAATCCAAGCCTAAACTAACTCCAACCAGCCCCACCAACTAGGAAGGGGAGGGGGGGATTGGGGAAGGGGGGGGGGGTAAGGGTTAGGGTGCTGGACCATATACATACATTACATTACATTATATTACATTACATGTCTTTACATTACATTACATTACATTGCATTATATTCCACCACATTACATTACATAACATTACATTACCTTACATAACATTACCTTACATAACATTTCATTACACCACATTACATTACATGCATGCATGCACACATAAACATACATGTGTATATATATATACATATATATGGACAGGTTTCGGCGTGTTGTTTGTGTGACCACAGAGCCGGCTCAATTGCCCAATGGCATCGTGCTTGGACGGTCCAATTCCTTTGTCGCCGCATCCTTGACCGGGCTAGGTCCCCCAGTAGTGCTCTTCTCTCCCCTTTTTTGGGGGAGGGTTCCCCTACTAAAATAGACTACAGAAAAAAGGGTACCCTTGTTCCAACCTCTCTACTGGAAGGACGTAGCAGGGCCAGCGCAGTTATTTAGTCTGATGTCAACCTACAGCCAACCGATCAACAAGATCCAGAACTACTCCAAATTTGGCCTACTTTCGGCCAATGCTACAGGCACCCACAAGATGTGGCCAACTTAGTTCGCCCCTAGTCCGTTGCCAGCACCCACACAATCGGATTTCTTACGCCCCTTGCTCCCAACAAACACAAATATATGCGCAGAACAGAAGCAGGATACCATGATTTGTAAACAGTGTTTGCCACTGTTTCCAGTACTTTCCTTCATTCCAAAGCTTTTCATTGATCTCCAGAAAAGCATCAGCTTTCGACAAGGCAGATTGCCAAACCCCGTGTCCTCTTGCCTATCTTCGTCCAACCCGACAGGGAGGCACGGGGCATGGTGATTTCAACCGGCACTTCCAGGAAAAAACGCCAACCCTGTCCCTTGTCAGCCTTGATTTTTGGCCCGCTCAACTGTCAACGCACAAGTTGAGTACCCTTTGAACCCAAAACCATCTGGACCCCGGAAACAGGTTTCAGCCATCCGCTTGCTTAGGTTTGTAGTGGTCTTTAGTTGGTTGAGTGTTTGGGGTTCAACCCACAAAACCTTATTCACTTGTAAGAATGGTCCGGCCCCCGAACCCCCCCCCACCCCAATGCCCCCCCTTCTTCCCCCCCCACCCCAATGCCCCCCCCTTCTTTACTTTTCTCTTTTCCCTGTTGCACCACCCCCAAAGTCAGCAAACCACGCTCCGACCCTCCGACCCACCTCTGAGGCGCTCTTCGCTGACATTTTGTGGAGCAGGCTGGCGATCCACTACTTCCTCTTCGGGCGCCTAGGCCAATTTGCAGATGCATATTTATGAATATTGTGAGTTACAGCGTTTGGCAAGTCCTCGAACAGATTGCCCTTGGGATGACGCATGGTCTGGCGATGGGTTATAAAGTGCATTAGAGGCGCACACACACACACACAGAGTGTACCAAGAAAATGGTGGCTTTTGTCTTCATGGGAGAGGAATATGCGTTGTCACTGCCCCTTGTGTTCAAAGATCCTGTTTGGCAGAATGTTTGATTGCCTGTGCTGGCCTATCATAGGGCCTATCGCCATGCAGGCAATCTGCCAGCCTGCTAGAGGTTCAGATGTTGGTTACAGTGAACCATGTTAGCGTTCAAGCCTTCCGTCCCTGGAGCATTGGAATGACTGCGCACCAAGCTTGGCACGCAATCTGTGTTGTCAAGGGCATTCAGACGCTTTCCACTATCAGATCATGAGAACATCCACCCTGAGAAACTGTTTGGAAGAGTTCGTTCCAAGACTGGCTTCTGATGCTTTACTTGGCTCCTTGATTAAGAAATAAGCTTGGGCCCTGTTGATGGAAGCACCTGAAGCGTGTGCAAGCAGAGTTTTTTTTGGGTTGCTTCGCCTCTCCTTGCCCGGCTGAGGCGGCTGTACTTCTTATTCACGCTTTGCGTCTTTGCGGCCAGCCCTTTGGCAGCACGCTCGAAAAACTAGCGGAGAGAAGGATCATTTTTTGTGCATCGGTTTTTGAGGGAGCCCCACTTCTTGAGTTCATGGGCTTTAAACTTTTGCGAAACACAATAACAATAGTAATGATTAGACAAACACATTTTAGTGGCAAACAAAAAGTTTGGTTACTTTTTCGAGCCATCCTCAGGCGGTGTGGTACCGCTCGCTTGGGTTGCTTTGAAGAGAAAAAAGGAACACCGAAGCCACTTTGGGGGGGGTTTGTTGACTTTAAACTCCGGGAAGCCCAGTTTCGTGGCAAAGAAGAAGTTTGGTGGCAGACTTTTTTGGAGCCATCCTCAACCGGAAGTGAGGTCCCGTTTGTCAAACGGGGTGCTTTGAGAGACCAAAGGAAGAGGGGAGCCACTTCCGGGGGAGTCCCTTGTTTTCAATCACCCCCATGTATCATGGGGGCTGGGGGGGAGGGGGGGGAGGGAGCCCAAAGCCCTAAGTAAGCCCTAAATAAGGCCTTACTAAGGGCTTGGTAAGGGGCTTAAGGGCTTATTTGGTCTCCCTCCCTCCCTCCCTCCCCCCCAGCCCACAGGAAGAAGGGAGCCTGGGCTTATGAAAGGGCACCTGTGCACCTTGGGGGTTAGGAATGGTTGCAACCGGTCCTAAAAAGGCTTTCCCTCCAGCCAAGAAATTCCTCTAAAAGAACCAAGCCCATGGTGCTTTCCTGTTGGTGTCCTTCCATCTGCTGAAGAAGTTTCTGCTATTTTCGGCTGTTGGTTCTAAAGGGAATCTATCACTTCTGGACAAAGTCTTATCTTTGCCAGGGGACTTCTAAAAGTCAAACAGTTAAAGGGTTGGGTTACAGGAAATTCTACAGGAAAACAGCTTTTTTAGGGTGTTTTGAGGCAATGTCCTATAGATTTTCCTGCAACCAAACCCTTTGAAAAAGCAAGCCGAGGTGTCTCTTCCAACAAACTCAAAGGGGCTTCCCTCAAAAAACCGCGGCCCTCTCAGGCCAAGCCATTCTACCGCACGGCGACCAGCCGTCAACTGTGCAGGACGCCGGAGTTTCTGCCACCTTCCGAGGTGGGTCTGTCGCTGTTTTTTGGGGGGGCACCCCCGTTTTTTGTGGCGTTTTTTCCAGGGAACCCAATAATTAGGAAGACCGAAATTAATGTTGACCTAACAGGAAAAAACAAAATTCGAATTTGCGGGGGTCCAACCTGAAAAAGACAAGCATGTACAAATCGTGTTCTAAGACGGTGTCCTCTACCCCCAAACCAGCACCCCCAAGGCACAATGGAGTAAGTAACCCCTGTATGGGTATGGCTCAAAATCAAACAGCTGGGGTTACGCAGGTTTCAGTCTTTGCTCCCCAGCAGAGCAAAGAGATGCTGGTAGGTACTTCGGGGAGCAAGTCTTAGCCAAGTGCGTATGCAGCTGACTGGTGGGCGTGGCAAGTTATTTGTCTTTGGTGCATTTCATTTTGCTTGGATGTTAGGACTTTAACTTTTTGCTAATGAATGGGTTTTCCATCAAACCACTAAAAGTTAAACTTTTTGCAGGGGAGCAGACAGCAACCATGGATACCAAGGGGGGAGGGTTTTTTCGAAAAGTGTTTTCCAAAGCCCCTATTTAACACCCTGCTGTTCTGGCACAAGCCTTTTGCATCATCCATCAGCTGACTTAATAATAATGATAGTATTAGTAATAGTAATACTTTATTAAGACTAGTTATTAAAAGATGATAGTTATTTATTAATACTAATAGTACTCTTAATATTTATTAATATATCATTAATGGCAAGTTCTTTGTGTTGGCAGGAGAATGTGGCGGTTTTTGCCCTCCGCTGCTTCATCTACCTGGGCAGCATGCGGCTTGGCTGACTAGGAGAATATCTAGGTCCCCCAGCTGGCGATCCAGGTGGAGTTCTTTGGGGAAGGGGCCAAGAAGAGACCAGTGAAAACAAGTAGACTAGGTGAATTCCCTTTCTCGCCCAACTTTTTTGCTTGGTTTTGGGTTCCCCTACTAAAATAGACAAACCGGACAATAATTGGGTACCAACTTATTCTAAGCTCTCTACTGGAGGACCTAGAATTCAATTGATTTGATGTCAACATGCTGTTCACGGGAGCGGCTGCATTGCCAGCCGGCGATTTTCTCTCTTTCTGAGTTCCTAAACACTTCACACTTTTTGGGCTTGGACCATTTGAGTGGCAAAAGGCTTGGATTTGGCCAATCCACTCAGGGTGTTTTTCAGCCTGGCACCTTCGGTGAATGCTTGAATCCCCCTTGACCTTTGCTTCATGCCTGACCGCGATTTTTCATCTGCCGGGGTTCTGACAACCGTTTCCTTTTGGTTTCCCTAAAACTATCAGCCAAAGGGGTGTGTATCATTTGGATAATTTCAATTTTGGACGAGCTTGCAATTTTTTCGGAGAGGCTTACTATGTAACAGTGCAGCGGTCATGGGTTCCCTTGATCAGCTAAGCTGTGTGAGGGGCGCATGCAATCATTTCGGCAACACCTGAAAGAACGTGGCAAAGATGGTGCTAATCTGACAAGCACTTGCTTGGGCAGACGGTCGCTCGTCAAGCTCAGACGGACAGACATATCACGTGTTGGGCAGAGTATGGATTACATCATTGGTCCGAGCGGTAAAATTATTTGAAACATTGGGGGATCTTGGCAGTTGGGATCCAGCAACTGTGCTTCGAACCTTTCCCGGAGGTATCCAGTTGGAAGGTTAGCATCAGAGAAACATTACACCAAGTTCGGTAGCGCACGGCTGCCCGTGCTACCGTTTTGCTGCACACGGCACCTGGCTGAGCTCAGTGATCGTTTTGCTGGTTTGGTGTGGCTGTAGACCAAGCGGGACATTGCACTTACGGCCTGTTATACGGTTTGTTCTTGGTGTGTGTGTGTGTGGGCGTATACGTACTAAGTTTCAATAGCCAAGCCATGTGCAAAAGGAGACAACGAAGACCAGGGAGACAAAGGGATACAGCCAGGTTACAGCCACCTAAAGACATAAAGACATGCTGTTGGCAGGTAGTTCTTTGGTTTAGATTTATCCAATCGCAGACGGGCCAAGGTGTCAATTGCTTGTCCGTCTGAGCCTGAGTCTACGGCTGGGCTTAGCTGGGGCTGTTTTCAGAGTTTTGTGAGGCGCTTCGAGCGCGCTCAAAGGCACACTGAATTGCTACAGCACCCAATTCTACCCCGTCAAGCATGTGTTTTGGCAGAAGAAGCACTAGTTGCCGTTCTTGCTTCAGAGCTACAACATGCATCTGATGACGAACGGGCAAGATTTGCTGTGGCATCTACGTTTGGCTATGACGCATGCACGCTCACCAAATCCTAGTCGGGAATTGGGTTACTTCAGCATCTTGACCATGACTCATACAACTCCCCCCCGCAATGTCTAAAAGGGTCCCTGCAATCCTGGTACCAAGGTTTGAGGCACTGGTCCAGGTGCCTTTCAGAACAATCCAAACAAGCCACAATGCTTCTCCCTGCCTGACGTGGTCACTGCTTCTCCCCGTGTTGTAGCTGGGTGCATGTGTGCATGTGTGTGCACAAGTGTGGGCGGATCGGCAGGCGGGCAGACTGGCGCGTTGGAGTGTCTCCGTTTGTGTACGTGTACAATGGTGCATGTGCATGCAAAAGCGTGTGTGTGTGTGTGAGTAACATATGCATATTTAGCTGCCAAGCATTTGTCCAGACCATCACCGTTGCCATTGCGCTTTGGAGAGGCAACAGTTTGGACGTATTGAGGGCCGTACCTGGATGTGTTCATCAAGAAGAACCTTGTTTGCCGGAATGAGAGGCCTAGCAAAGCTGCATTGATTTTCGAGCGTCTGTGAACATTCCGGCATCCTTCCGGAATAGGACCAACCGGAACTGTGCATGCTGTTGAATCCTGCTGTGTGTGCGCAGCTAGATTTCTCCTGCAAAACTTCCAGGGACAAAGCGATAAAGCGGTTTTTTCCCGAGTGTGTCAAGCTCGGAGAATCTTTGGATCTGGCGATTTGGCTGATTTGAGGACAGCTGAAGATGCTCTGGCGGGACGTGAAGACTGGGGCCATTGAAAGGCGGGCTTTTGCGGCGTTTTCGCCGAGGAATCTGGCCGTACCCAGAGATGGGTGGCTCGTTTTTCTTGAGGCTCCCTTCTTGTTGTGGTTTTACGGAGAAACCAAAAGGACAACCCACCAATTTGAGGTGGCCCCTTAGGACAATTTCAAGAAAGCCAACAGGAAAACCCACCAGTTTGAGGGGGCCCCTTAGAAAAGGACACACACAATCAGAATTCAGATATGCCGGGGGCTCATTTTTTTCCACTGTTTCTGGGGGTCTAGGTCAGGACATGGAATACATTGTTTCCCTTTATACCACTGAGCGGGGTTGACTTTGATGGTAAAATACTGGGGCCTGTATGAGCTCGAAATGATGGAGGGATCAATACTGGGCGAAATCCATTTCACACCACTTTGAAACCAGGGGAAATACAGGAGAGTCATTTCATTCCAGGGTTTCTTTGGTGGTGCAGGATTTCGTCCATCCGCAGTAGTTTTTGCAGGTTTCGCATTTTATCATCCTGCTGCAATCTTCAGACCCTTCGGACAGTCGTCTTATGACTCAGGAGTTTGGACCATAGACATGTTGCAACTCTCCATGTGGTATGCATGTTGCTCCGAAAGGTATAAGTGGTTTCAGTACGCAAAACATATTGATCCCGTGTTATTCCATCAGTTCAGTCATGCTCATTCGCCAAGCAGCATGTCGAATCCTGACCTTGGTGCAACTGCTTGGACCCACCGTAGTCCTCGCCTCTATAGACATATACATATATATTCTCTCTATCAATTTGTTTTAGCTATCTTTGTTACATATTGCGGTCTGTTTTCAATCACAGAAGGGATGACAAACAAAATCCCCTTCGGCGAGTTCTCACACCCTCTGGGGAGTAAAACGGAGAGCGCTGTAATATTGAGAAGCACAAGTGGCATTGGGCATCAACCAATGTACTCCACATACAGCTCGAAGGCGCTGATAAAGTCTCAAATCTCAGCATGGTCCAGCATGATGATTTCGTCACCGAATCAAGTGCTCGCCTGGCTCGTTTGTTGCCTGTGGGGTCAAGGTGTCTGATGGCACGCACGCACGCAAACACATGGCACTGAGCTGCGCTCAAACGGGCTTGATGGCACATTTGCAGGAAGAGCACTGTGTCGATATGTAGATTAGGAATCCTGGGCCGACTGGAAAGGGGCTGGGACTCTCTTCCACATTTAGTCTTTACCATTCAAACAACAGCTGGAAGCTGAAAGTGCCTAGATGCTTGGAGTCGTGTCGCAAGCATGTCCCCCGGGGCTAAAGCGGGGATAAAGGTGGTTGGATTCGCAGAGACAGGGAGCTAGTCTTCAATCGAACATGGAACCACATGGGAATTATATCCCCTACATGGGAAGGATATGTGTGCCTCGAAAACTATATTTCACTTTTCCTCGTCTGCGTAATGCAGAACGCAAAGTCTTGTGGATTCGTGCGTCATACAAATCTGGCGACTCTCTTTGAGTCACAAAAATGTAAGTCGACATTCCCGTGGGCGGAGACTTCAATAATTTTACATTCCCAGGAAGGCTGCAGGTGCTTCATTTTGTTGTTCCCCTTCAATTCAAACCACCCCAAATGTCATGTGCCCATGTGTTCCTTTTTATGGAGGGGGTTATGGGGTCTTCCCTTGCCGGGGTTTTGTGGTTGGGTTTCCAAATCAAGTTAAAACAAATGATAGCAGGGGATCGGATCTGAACGCGGACAGCCCAGTTTACGTGGACAAAAAAAACTTGTGCACCCAGTTGCTCACTGGATTCCGCCCCATTTTTCAACTTGTTTTTGGGGAAGGGTTCCGATTCCGTTAAAGTCAACCAACCAAAAAGGACGCCTAGATGGCCAAGCTGCTGCTTTGTTCAGTCACCGTTGCTGGTTTTTTAGGTTAAAGTGCATGGAGAAAAACAACAAAAACAATCGCAACTGGCGATCCAGGAACCGACCGAAAAAGGAAGCCGATTCTCGTTTCCCCATGGAAATCCACTGGGCATCTCTGTGTATTTCAGGACCTGGGGAGTGCCTTTGCCGGAGCATCTCTGCGCCGAGCTCAGCTCTCCCTGGGCGGATCTTTGTTTTGGAAGCTTCCATTTGATGGTGTGTTTTTAGGCTGAAATGAATATTTTCGTTATTGTCCCTTGTTGGTTTTCAAAGGACTTTATCACTATACTGCTTTGGTGCATTTTGCTTGGCTGTTAGGACTTTAACTTTTTGCCAACTAATGGGTGTTCCACTAAACCACTAAAAGTTAAGATTTTAGCAGGGGAGCAGAAAGCAACCAAGTTATCACTACTGGACATATATTCTCATTTTTCCAGGGGTCGAAAAGCCAAATGGAAGGAAGGACTCAAGGGACTTGAACTTCGTGCCGACTTGGTTAAACGTGCCCTGGTTTTTGGGTCGGTTTAGAGGGAAGCCAAAAGGAAGGCCAAGGATGAATTTCGGGGTTCTTGTTGGTTTCCCTCACCAATATCCCGCAACATTTGAGTGTGTCTTCTTTTTCTTTTCGGGGGATGCCCCCAAAATGGGGGGGAATGTTCCTTTTGCTTTTCCTTTAACCACACAAACAGGAGCACCCTCAAAAGTTGACGCACTCATATATATAGGGGCCATTGTGTTACCGTCAACCCCGAAGTAGGGGAAGTGACGACTCCGTGTCCAACTCCGAGAACCCCGAAAACGCCGACCACCTGCGCCAAAAGCGCAAAGCAACCTTATCAAGGACCTCCAAGCCTGCCCATCTCCTGTCAACAAGCTTGAGTCAAAGTGCCAATTGACTGTATTGATTGGGTGGCTGATTGTTCGTCACGCGTTTATCTTTTGTTTGACCCAAAATGAAGTCCTCCTCAGCGTATGATCCTTTGTGGGGTCTGGACCACAGCAAAAATATGTGCAACATCGCCAGGTGGTTCGCAACCGCACTGTTCTATCGACGTTTTGTTTTCTTCAGGTTGATTCAGACAGGTGCCAAGGCTTGTTTAACGATCAAACATGTGCGTCTGTGGTGATCGATCTTTTTTTTTGGACTGTTCCAACATGGCTCCGATGTAAGAAGCTGAACCACTCTCAAAGCTTGGCATGTCCGTGTTCCAAAACTCCGTGCGCCTTTCAAGGTTCAACACGTTTGGGGCGGCCGGCCTTTTTTTTTTCCGGTGGAGTTTCGCGGGTGGCTGAAGATGACATGACATTTTTACGCGAAATTCTGGGTTTACCTCCCAGATGGTACATCAATGCCCAGGTAGAGGATGTCCACAGGGTTCGTCACCTTGCGCCACATGCCTTCCATGGCATCCGCAGCTAACATCGGGCCATCCAGTTATCCCAGCCAATCAAGAAAACGCAACTTGGGGCCATGAAACAACCAGATGTCTTTGCTGCAAGGGAACCCTCAGCAGGAAAATCAAGGCCTAATTCACTCACGAAAAACAGGAACCAACCGCCACCTTTTTCCGATCTTCCAAAAAAGGAAAACACACCGTTGCGAAATGGGTTCAACAAATTGAGCTCCACAAAAGCCGGAGGTGTTTGTTTGCTTTGTTTCTAGACATTGCTACCGTTTTTGCTACTTGAGCAGCCTAAAATACCAGCCGTCAGGTGCGCAGGAGCTCGGGAACATCGCTCTGTTTTGGACCCTGTGCTCTGGCGATGGCGATGGGGGCGGGGTTTCGTTTCAGGCGCGGGGTAGAAGTGGCTGGCATATAGGCCTCCCCCGTTGGCTTGGATGTTCCGCCATGTAAAGAAGAGGGGGGGTTAATAAATACTAGGTCCCCCAGCTAGGTGCCCTTTCATCGTTTCATTTTTGGGGGAGGGTTCCCCTACTAAAATAGACCACAGAGAAAAGCGTACCCTCTCTACTGGACGACCTGGAATATTCCTGGCCCCATGTTAGGGGTATTCCAGTGTATTCCATGTTAAGGACCTTTTGATCAACCCCCAAGTGGTTAGCCGCTCAGGGTATGACCCCCTTATAACAAGATCAACTCCACTTAGGGGGACTCATAAGTGGGTTATACCAGTTATACCTTACAGTTGCAGCTTACTAACTTGGCGAATCGAGCACCCAAGTAACCTAGATGGTAACATATGGGAACCTACTTATATTGCTAGCTTGGCCGCCCTGTCCGGACACCCGAGTGGGTATGGTCATCCCCTTTGCCGTGGCATTTGCCAGCTCACCCGAAAGAGCAATTGAGAAGCCTGATTGCCCCTGTCGGAATGCTGGCCATTATCCCGGCTTTAACGTTCAGGTAAATGTTGTGCTCGTTGAAACTAGCTTGGGCAGATATTGATAGCCGTTTATCATTTTAGCGCGTCTTCTTTGAGAGACGCCCCTTTTTTGGGTCTGTTTTTCTCCACCCACTATCGTCGTTTATTTATGTTGTTGGTGGGAGGTTCCCCATTTGGAGGCAAACCAATGCACTAGTTCCATTTGTTCCAGAGAAACACATGTGCTCAATACCCATGCACCTCTCTCTCTCTCTCTCTCTTCCAGGGCCCGCTTGGATAGAGCGGACCTTCCCACAGAACATGTGATGGCTTTCACACACATGCCTAATTTGCCGCTTGAGAGGTGTGACTTTGTCATTTTCTTGTTCTCATCACTTCGAGAATTTGAATCCAATGAAACCCTGCACGTGTGCATGTGGGTAGCCGAAAGGGGACAGTCATCCAAACATTCAGCACGGGACTTGTCATGAGTTCTGGTTGAGTACACTTATACTGCCCTTCTTTACTTGCGTGGCTCGTCTTTTTTAGGCTCGGTACTCTTATGGGATGGTTTTAAAGGAAAGCCCATTTGGGGGCTAGCCCTATTTTGAGACCAACCCATTTGGATTTTCGAAGTGGAACACGGCCATGGGCACAGTCTCGTGTTCATTCGACATAAAGTGAACGGCAGCGAATTTCGGCGGGTAAACTTCCAATTGATCAGCCAAGGGTTCTACCTGGTGTCACCGGGGTGAAAGAAAGGCCAGCATCAACGCAACGTAGTGGGGCCTATATCAGCCTAGGGGTTGCAGGGGTTTATCGGGCTATGGTATACTCCCAAGTGAGGCCTGAATCAGCCTTTACCATCTTAGTCGAGCCAAACATCAGCTCGATTTTTTTTTGAAATTTTGCTTCAGGTAAAAACAATCCTGAGGCTGTTGATGTGCATTCAAGAGCCGATCTTCTGGTGCCTCAGCAACATGCACGGCGACTTCCCTGGGCGTCTCGGCTGGACGCAAGGCACGAGTTTTGTAAGGTTTTGTAAGACTACGTTGGGTAGTTGGTTGATTTTTTTGTTCTCCTGGAGAAACCTTCCTGACTGTGTGACTGTGTCAATTCGGCCTTTCGCGCTGATACTCCTCAATTCAAAGGTCCAAAGCAAGCCCCACCAAAAGGTCCCAAATGAAATGGTGCCAGACGTTTTTGACAAGCCCTGCGGGCCCCCAAACGGTTTTTAGCTCGCAGGTCCTTGTGTTGGAATGGCACCTCTTCCGGATCAGGTCATATCCTCGAAAACTGCTCAGTTCCCGCGCGAAAGGCGGAGAAATGTGGTCAAGTTGCCAACGCTCTAAGGCGAACACGTTCGCGGCGAGCATCGTCTGACAAAGGGGGAGCTTTTGGGAAAGCATCGCCCCCCCCCCCAAAAAAAAAAAAAAAACACAAAAAGAACAAAGGCAAGCAAAGAAGCACTTGCTGGTTCCCAGCCGTCCCCTAAGGTTGTTTAGGCTTTTGGGGTGAGATGTGGGACAGCCCAGAAAAGAAGATACCTTCCTTTTAGTTCCGCTGGGCTGCTTTCAAGGCGCCCCCCAATGTGTGTTTCCATCAAAAACGGGAACACACACTGGACATTGGCAGACCCTAAAAGTTATTTGTTGCACAGAGCTCATAGGATGAGAACTCAAAGCACCACCTGAGCCACTTGCTCAAAACCCAAGTAAATGGAGCGTTATTGAGGGATCTTTCCCATAAACGGGTCCGGGAATCCGCCAAGTCAGTTCTTTACATGGGTTTTGGGACTGTTAATACCAGGTGTTGATTGTGAATCATAGGAAGCCTGCAGGAAATTCTTTTGTTTTTCCAAGCTACACACCAAGCGGGGTTGGACTTCATGTAGAATTCTTGTCCCATGTTTGCGGGTTCCTTAGAAATGTTTTTCTTTTGCCGCAGATCGAACCCCCGCCCCCCCCCCCCTCGCCCCCCCCCTGCAAAAACAACATCGGTGTTCCTTTTGCTTGTCCTTCACAATCACCAAACAAGGGGCTAGCCTCCAAAAACGAGACCACCCCAATATGGGGTTTTTGGCTCGCAGAGTTTGGTGGGTGTCACCTGGGGGTGGGGTGGGACCCTCGTTCCCTCCGTCCAACGTTCGGTTTCGGGACCCGGCGGAACCGGATCTCCGAAACCGGGGGAGCCGGTTGGGCGGAGACCCTGGAGCTGCTGGGGAAGACCGGGCAATTGTTTTCACCCAGAAAAAAATAAAACCGCCCGAAGAAAACAAAAAACACCACAATACTGGTGGCGGTTTTTCCCGGTTGGTGGTCCTAAGCTACAAGAAAAAACAAAAAATCCCTTTTCAACAGCTGGTCTCAGGCCAAAACCCACCAGCCCAGGTGGGCTTTTTTTTTCAGCAGAACTTCCCCAGAATCAAGCTCAGGTCTCGGGACCCGACCCAACAGGTTCGGACCCGAGCCTCCGAAGCGTAGCTTGGCGCTTTTTGTCGTTCATTTTTGGGTGTAAAAAAACTTGCCTCTTAAAAACACAACTTTTCAACTTTTTGGGTAACATGTGCTATATGTTTGTAAAAGATTAACTTCCCCAGGGCTTGGAGTTTTAAGGGGTAAGAAAACGAGGGGTTTCGATTCCGGGTTGACCTGGTTCAATCAACCTGGGGCTTCTACTTATTTTACACCAAGTCAAGCAAAAAGGACAGCTATGCTTCGGAGATTCGGGTCCGCGGCTGTCCCGAGACCACCCGGGCTTCTTCTCAAAATACCTCCTTAAAATACCCTGGCTGTGGAAATACCATCGATGTTCCCCAAAAAGGACACCCGAATCTCCGAAGCTCCCCAACTCCGCTGCCGCCTAGGGCAGGGCTCTTCACCAGCGCCTGCCCGGCGGGCAAGGAGCACTCGGAGGCCTACGCGGTCTTCTCCTGCGCCTCGGAACCAAAGAAGTTATATGTATATATATATATATACATATTTAGACTTGGCTCCTTAACAGATACAAACTTTGCCCATTTGACACCAAAACAAAGTTGGAAACCACCAGACAACAAGTTGCAACCTTCAGGTGTTTTTCCATGCATCCGGATTTTTGTTAAACCACACACCCCTGAAATGCTCCACTAAAATTGACTTTGGGTTCCCCGCCCCGATATAGCTTCCCCAGGTCTTTTTTTGCAGCCCCGGACCTCTCAAAAGCTCTGAACTCACATGGACGCAACCAAAAAACGAACGCCCATCGGTTCCTGGACCGCAGCCTGTTTGGGTTTTCTTACATTTTCGTGGTGAATCCGAAAAAGTAGGAACCACTTGTCTGGGTTTGGAACATTTTCGTGGTGAATCCGAAGAACAACAAGTGTTGCTATTTTTCCCAATCGACCCAGGAAGTGAGATGTGCCAAGGTCAAAAGATCGGTTCCTTTACTTGGGGTTGATGTTGGGATGGTCATCCAGCTGGTAGAAAGCGTCCTGAATTGCCATTGCAATGATTCCTATGGCTGCTGCTGCAAGACTTGGCGGCTGCCAGCCATCCCCTTAGCTTTTTAGATCCTTTTAGAGTTTCCATTTGACCCACTAAAAGTGAGACACTTTTAGCGGGGGATCAGAAAACGGGCAGCCCAGAATAGATGTTCACCTGAGTTGTTCTGTACCGATTTCCGCCGTCCAGCGGCTTGCTGAGCTGCTCTGAACATGACTGGACCGCAAGCGCGCTCGGATACAATGATTCCTATTGAGGAAACCATGGCAATAGGACATAATATGACATAATATATATATATATATAGATATGTATATGTATTATATAATATATAATGATATATACATATATATATATATATGCTCACCCCCCCCATGATCCACGCCTACAGTGCTGGATCCACGCCCAGAGTGTTGGATGGAAGACATAACGCTGTGCACATCCATAGATTTCGGCTCCTGCTGATTGAGCCGCCAGTCAGCTTTTCACCACCAACACAATGGACTTCTCACCACATTCTGCTTTTAAGGGTACCTTTCTTAGAAGCATAAAGTGCTGAGATTTATAGAACTGCAACCTAAATCATAGAAAGTCCCTTCTTCATAGAACTGCAACCTAAATCATCGATGTTTTTTTTTTTCCCGAATTGCAACCTAAACCATAGACAGTTCTTCATCGAGTTGCAACCTAAATCAAAGAAAGTGTTGTTTAGAACTGCAACCTCAGGCAGAAATTGTCATATGGAGTTGCAACCCAAATCAATACCCCTTCCTTAACATTGTATTCATGGGTGGGGGGGTACGTCATCCAGGAGTATACATTTTTTCTCTGGGTCTAGGAGGCCGAAAAACTGAAAGCTGCCATGGCTTCACTCTTGCTTTCCAAGGACCCGTTGACTGACGCCATGGCAGCTCACTTTGAACACATGGCAATTCTGGCCAGAAACTCATTGACTGCGGCCACTGGCAAGCAATGGTTGCGTGTAAATGTTTCTGAATGTTCCTGCGTGAAGCTGTTCGCAACTCTGTGTGCTTCCCTTTGGTTTTCCTTCAAAACCACTCCAAAAGACTTCCGCTTGAATCAATATTACACATTAAAACAATATATTTGTATATTTATTTTAACTGACATATTTTTATACAGATACATATTTAGATACGCCATGTGTCTTTGTCTTTGCTTGTCTGTGTGTGTGTGTTTGTTTTTGAGTACCCGTTTGAGTTTGGCAACAAGACAACCTGGGTTGGCGTCAAAGGAAGTGTCCTCATTCCGATGCAACGGGGCACCTCATTGCGATCTCAGGGGATCGGTCGAACACTTGTAAAGGCCCCACTCATAGGCAACCCGTTTTTTTTTGGGTTGGTGAGTGTTGGAAGCAAGCGTTTCCAATTTCGGAAGCAAACCAACAAAACCACGGTGCAAGACGCAACAGAAAATCGTGTTGGAAGCAAACATTGCCAACTTAACCAGCAAAATCACCATTAACACGCAGCAACGGAATCGAGGCATTGCCATGCTCCTCTACTGCGCTTTGGTGCTGGACCTCAGCATCATCTCCATGCGGATCTCCGCCTTCGTGCTGGTCTGTGGCTCCGTGATGGCGGAGGTGGGTCTCTTCCTGCGGCCCGTCGAAGGGTGGTGATAGGGGGGGGTTCGCGGGATTTTTTCGCGAAGGCGTGCTATGCCCCGGGCCTCCGGTGCCCTTTCAAGTCTCTTCAGTGGATCCATGTAGGTAGCATGTTCCCACATTTGACCCTTTTGGAGGGTTGAGGGAGTGTCATTGCCCAACGCAGTGGATTCAAGTTGCCGCTACAGGTCACCCTTCGCATTTTTTTCTTTGTTAATGTGTAGTTCCCTTGGTTACCTGCCTTTACCAATGGAATCACTCAGGCGGCTTCACTCACCTTGTTGGACCCAGAAGTTCCCCTTGGTAGTGATGTATATATGGCTGGGTCAAAACCAATGGGATCCCATTTTGGGCTAGGTGAATTCACCACCCATCTTAGTCTATTTTAGTGGGGATTGGGATGTTCACTGGGGGTACTGGATTTTGACCCATGGCCATATGGGGACATAGACCTTTGTCCTTTTTCCTTTTTTGGAGGGGGCTCTGTCAAGTCAACAAGTCCGTTTGGTTTCTTTTGCCACTGACTGGGGGTCCAAGCCTGTTCCCCTTAACCTCACTAAGGGAAACTCACCTTGCCTAGATAGCCAAGTTGCGTTTTTGTTCATCTTGTTTTTCTCGGTTTGTGGGGTAAAGTGCATGGGAAAAAACGATCGCCACTGGCGATCCAGGTGGCTTCTAAAAGGTGATGAAAGCCACCCTAGTCACCTCGGCGAAAGAAGAACCAAAAGGACACCGAGATCCATTTCGGAAGGATGGGTCTAGGACCCGGTTCCATTTGCTGCGTACCGAGATGTGTTTCAGGATCGTGCCCAAAGACGGCTGCCATGCTTGACCAAGGTAGACTAAACCCAGGGGTGGTTGATTTCCCAGCACACGGGTGAGGTTTGACCGGTTTCAATTCTAAAAGCTTCTCGCCCCAGCTTACTTGAACGGGTGAATGAGGTTTGGAGGTTGATTGTTTGCTGACAGAGCCATTCAACAGCTACTTTTGAAGCTGAATCACCCGCATTATTCCTTTCATTATCTTAAGAAGAAGTTTGTAATTCCCTCAGGGTTCCACCTTTTTGACTACCCCATAGACTCTTAAACCCAGGGGTGGGTCATTCCCTCCAAAAGAAAGAAACCTGGGTTTGGTTAGTGTCCTGTTTAGGTTAGTTAAAGAAATGGCTCTGGTGGAACTATCTTGGTCAAAAGAGTGGAACCACTGGATTCCGGAACCACTGGTTTCCTTTGGCTCTAGCTTGTTGTGCCATCTTTTTTGCCAAAGGCCGCCTACTGTGGATGGTTGCGAAATCCTCTTAGGCACCACCTCAGAATCGCTGGTTTCTGATGATTCCCGTGGAAATGCCGAGAAACAATGGGTTCTCATGATTTTTAACTGGTGCGAACGGATTTGGTCCATCCACAGTATGTCAAGGCCACCTATGTCCACAAGGCTGTGGGTCAAAACCAACGGTACCATTTTGTGTAGGCGCACCACCATTTTTTAGTCTATAGTGGGGATTGGGAACTGGGGGTACGATTTGGATTTTGACCCATGGCCACCAAGCGACTTCACTCGCTAAGGATGGCTGCGGCCTTCTTGATCGTGTCCTTCGCGCTGTCGATCAGTACGCTGTCACAGCAGGCTGCTGCCTTCCAAGGCCCGAGACTCGCGACTCACTTTTCAACAGCTGGGCGCGACTTAGCACATGCTTTAATAGGTGGTTCGAAGGACACCACAAAGGGGATGTTGTTGTTTTGTGTTTTTCCAGGCCCCCTATGTAGCAGCCAATCTGCAAAGGGGTATTCTTTCGCACTTGTCTTCTTTGACATAGTCTGGTCGGTTCCGCCGAATTCTGCCTTCCCGTTTTTTGCTTTTCAAAAAGAAAGGCAATGCAAACTCTGGCAGTGGTGTTGCATCAAACCCGACACCCCGGGCATGATGCTGAAACTAACAATACTCTGCCGCCGCAAGCGGCGGAGTATGGCGCTGGGCACAGTGCTTGACAGAACCCGAAGGCGTCCTTGAGACATGGGAAGCCGGGAGTCGCCGAATGAAGATTTCGCCATCATCGATCAACGTGGTGATGATGATGACAATGATGATGACAATGATGATGATGACGATGATGATGATGATGATGATGACGCCGGCGATGATGATGATGATGATGATGATGATGATGATGATGATGATGATGATGATGATGATGAGGAGGATGAGGAGGATGAGGATGAGGATGAGGATGAGGATGAGGATGAGGATGAGGATGAGGATGAGGATGAGGATGAGGATGAGGATGACGATGACGATGACGATGACGATGATGATGATGATGATGATGATGATGATGATGATGATGATGATGATGATGATGATGATGATGATTGTGATGCTGATGGTGGTGGCGTTGATGATGTATGCGATTTGAGGTTTGTCAATTCATGATTCCATCATTTTCAATCAGGCGCATGTTCAAGCAGCTGCTCGGACCCCATTCGACCGACAGGATTTGACCATGCGGCCTACTCACTCTTCGCCATGATGCTCGGACTATACCCATCAGACCAGCTGGTAGACGTGCAGGCCGAGCCCCGTGGTTATGCCACGCCAGGATTGTGGCAGTTGCTTACAGTGTTTCTTGTGTTTTTTTGGTTATCCTTGGTTTCAACTTGCGTGCCTGGACATGATTGGCAAATCTGATCTTCGACTGGCACGGGTGGCAAATGGAAGGGGTTCTTCATGGTTGCTGTTGGGAACATTTTACATTTGTGCTTATAGTTGCTTAGTGAGAAATCTCCACTGAACTGCTAAACAATAAATAGTTGCTGCCCTTCCAACGTCAACCAAGTCTTTGTTTTTGGCCTTGACCACTGGTTCAAGCTTTGTTTGCCCAGTCCCCTCGACTGGTCTCTTATGCGGACAGTGATGGCTTCGGGTGCTTGGTCAAACTGCGGGCTTCGGCTCTGACCCAATGTCTATGGGCCGTGCACACAGGCATCAAACTCAAAAGACTTGGTGGTTCCCAGCAATCCACTAAGTTGTTTAGCGCTAGGGTTGAGTGGTTGGGTTTCCGATTTTAACCCACTACAAGTTTTTTTTTGTCAGGGGATCTGAGGGTATCCCATGCCTTACAAAGACGATCAGCAGATTGGCATCATAGTTTCTGCACAGACAACAGAACTGGTTCCAAAATCAAAGATGCAAGAAACCCTAGGTCCCCCAGCCAGGTGCCCTTTCTCTCCCAACTTTTTTGGTCGGGAGGGTTCCCCTGCTAAAATAGACCACAGAAAGAAGTCCCCTGACCTGAGTCTATCCTCCCTACTGGACCTAGATTTGCCCCGGAGCGATGTTCGGGCCGGTGGGGAGGTGGAGTTCTGTCAAGGTTTGGGCGGGGTCCTGGGACTGGGACTGGCTCCTGTTGCTACGGGATCTGACCGCTTTTGGACCATCCGTGCTTGGCCCAGGGCCAAAGAGGTGAACCTTTCCGCCGGTTTAAAGGGATCCTTTGGGTGACATGTCAGCCTTCTGGGGAGACGTTGGGACAGTGACCAGACGTTGGGACTGTAGGAGTGACACTGAGATGCCCCTGTTCTACGCCGTGATTTTGAACGGTTGTGCGAACTCTAACTCTTAGAGCAGTGAGGGAGGAACCTTGTACCCGTACAACAAATTAGACACCCCCCCCATTTCCACGGTTTGTTTTGTGCCATGGTCCGCAAGGCAGTAGATCAGCAGTCCTTCGCAGGCAGCAGCTGCCGGCACTAGACAGATGTTCTACAAAGGGAAAGCAAGCGTTCAGATTGGCATATTTGTGAAACAGAAGGACGCCTAATTTGTTGGTAAGGATCAACACCAACTTCCATTTAGTTAAGAATATGTTCTTATTTTCCCTTGTTAGTTTTAAAAGGAACTTATCACTATACTGGATTTTGTTGATTTGTTTTAAACAAAATTCCTAGGGGTCTTAACCAAATGGAAGCCCAGAAAGCAAATGCTTTGAGATTTCAGTTTCACGAGAGACGTAGCGAGCATTGCGTCGTGAAAGGCGGCGCGTTTCCTATGTGGCCGGTTGCCTCCGACTCGCTGCTCACGAAGCAGTCTCCCAGATCCATCCTGGGAAACCAAGGGCGGCTCCTCTTTTTGGAGGGTCCCTTTTGTTTCTGCCTCTAAAGGACAACCAGAAGGACAACCACCATTTTTTGCAGGGCAGCCATCTTTTTCTGGGACAAGGAAAACAGTTGTGCTTTTTTTGGGGGGTCCGATCTCTAACAAAAAGAGAGGCCCAAATGCTTGGCGGTCGTTGAAGGCCTATATGGGCATCATGATCGTCGTCTCCATGTTCATCATCGCCGTGGTGATTTTCTTATTGTCCCGTGGCTGAAGCGAAACAGTTCGGCACGCGACAGGACGTCGTGAATTCCAGAGCAAGCTGCTTCTATAGCAAGGGTTATAGTTCGTTCTTAAACAAGTTGTGTTTCAACAAATATCAGCGGCATGGTTTGTTTGTAGCATCCATGTTGCTGGTTGCCACTACAATGCGCTTGAACACAGTGGCAGTCCGGCATCAACAAGAAGACAAGGTGCAGTTCCGCTGCAACTTGCTAGTTCTTTAGTGCGGAGGGTTTGGTATTTGATGTAGTTGGTGCAACGCTAGCAGGGGTTCCGACGCGAGGGTGGTGGTGAACCTTGTCGTGTTTCTTCGTTTCAGGTGGCAAGCAAATGGGTGTGTCTTGTTTCGAGGTTCCCTTGTTGGGGTTGGTTAGGGAAGCCAAAGAATCGGAGTTTCGTATTCATTTGGCTCGCGCAAGGTCGACGCGACCTTGAGTCATCTTCCATGTATGCAACCGAAGGGAGCTCATTTTCAGACGCCATTTCGGGATACTTTGGATTGTGAGTCTGAATTTTGACTGGGGACCCCCAGAAAACATCATTTCAGTTGGACCGCGTAGTTCTCATTAAAGATCATCTTCACAGCCCGCGCAAGCCCAACCTCACTTCCTGAACTTTATACTTCTTGGGAAGACTGCCACTGGGTGGACTTTTTCTTGCCAATCCACTCGATCGGAAGTGAGCAAAACATTTGTTTCACAAGGAATCTGCTGGTGGCGCAGCTGAACCAAGCCTATCAGATCATCTTTCCGGACATGCAGGGCTACGCGCGTCATGGCCCCAGATTGTGTGTGTGTGTGTGTGTGTGTGTTTTGTTTTTATGTTTCCCCCGAGATACTGTGGATGGACAAAATTTGTTCGCACCACTTTGAAACCATGAGAAACCGTTGTTTTTGGTATTTACAGGGGAATCATCATTCCAGGGTTTCTTTGGTGGTGCAGAATTTCGTCCGTCCACAGCAGGGTCGGTGAGGGTTCGAATGAGGGTAGAGCTGACAGGGAGAACGACTGCGAATCTGGATCAGCGTTTGGGACCATCGGAAAGATCTTTGCCCTGGACTAAAATGATGAGCAACAAATTTTTGGGCTAGGTCCCCCAGCAGTGCCCTTTCTCACCCTTTTTTTGGGGCAGGGTTCCTCTACTAAAACAGACTACCTAGACTCTCCATGACCCTTTAAAAATGGGGTCATTGCCCAAAAGAAAGGGATCATGACCCCTTTTCCTAGGGGTCACGGAGACTCTTACGGAGAAAAAGGATACCCTTGTTCCAACCTCTCAAATCTGGACCCGGCGGGGTTGAAGTTGACGGAATCAGAACTGGATTCCTGTTGTAGCCGTACGAAACACGAGCGCTGAACAGGGGGCAATGCAGATCAACCTTGCCCCCCGCAGAAGGTCAAACCTGAGATGCGAGGAGAAGGTGGTCCGCTGGAAAAGGTAGTTGTAGGTGGGCGCTTCAGGGCATTGGGGACGAATCTGGAAATTGAATAAAGTTTAAATTGGGCTGGAAGTGGCATTCATTGACTCTTTGCGCGGGAAAATGGTTGTGCTGATCAGGGGTGGTCAGGGAGGCCGACGTCACTGTTTAGCATTGTTTAGTATTGGAATCCCAAAACGCACCTTAGCAATCGGCAGCATTTGTTAATCCAACGCGAACATTATGCGCTTTGGTGACGATCAGCAGTTCTGAGGGGGAGAGACTTCTCCTTGTCTGTTAGGCAAAGTGCACCTCAAGCTTCAAGACAGGCCATATGCAGTTGGTGTGCTCCAGTCAGGCCGATTCGAGATTGGTCTTTTGCGACAGCCAGGTTGCAAGCTGTGTGTGTGTGTGTGTGTTTGTATGTGTGTTTGTGTTTGTTCTATGTGTTGTGTCTGTGCCTATTTCTTTGCCTGTGTTTGTGTCTGTGTCCATTTCCCTGTTCGGTGTCTGTGTATGTGTAAGAGTATTATTAGTAGTAGTAGTAGTAGTAGTAGTAGTAGTAGTAGTAGTAGTAGTAGTAGTAGTAAGAAGGAGGAGGAGTAGGAGGAGCAGCAACAGTAGCAGTAGCCGCAGCAGTAGTAGTAGCAGTAGTAGTTGCATGCTTTGAATCTCATTTGACATCTATATTTTGGAGACGTGTGCCGACCTCAATAGGGGCTCACCAGATGAACGTTTGCTTGCTCCAGCTGCTTCAGGTTCTTTCCGGTTGTTTTCTTTTCTTGATGCGGGGTGGCTTGAGCCTCGCGCAATGCCCTAAATGACAACAACCACCAGCTGAGCCACTTGCTCAAAACCCGGGTGGATGAAGTTAGTAAGGGACAATCCCCTTGCCATAAATAGCTTCGGATCTCCGCCTTCTGAATTCTTGAAGCATGGTTCTGGGATTACGACCATTTTAATACCGAATCGCTTTTGAGCAAGTGACTCAGCGCAGCCTGCCGCGTTTGTTGCTGGCACCCAGAAGCACATCGCTTCGAGGGTTCCCGTTTTCGATGACCTCGAGGAGCTTGAGCCCAGGGGCGGTGGATTTCCCGAAAAGGGAACCGCTGGGAAGTCTACCTTGGCCAGGGGTTTGCTTCCATCAAAGGCACCTGGTGATGGACATGTCGCCCAAATTTGTCTAGGTCCCCCAGTAGTGCCCTTCCTCTACCAGCTTTTTTGGTTGGGAGGGTTCCCCTACTAAAATAGACTACAGAAAATAAAAGTTGGCACCCTTATTCTAACCTCTCTACTGGAGGACCTAGTTGGGGTAGTCAAAAATGGAACCTTGCATTCTTTGCTGTCTTCAAGTTTGGCGCTCGGAGAGCTTAGGTCTGACACGCGCGGGCGTCGTGGTGTGGCGGGCTCAGTATCTTGCGGTGAACGTGGGGTTGCGCAATCTTGGATCACTTCCGTGTGCTGAAATTATTGCCCCCCGTTGGTTTTAGAGCGAATCTATGTCCGCTGGAAATATGTTTACCTTTTCCAGGGGGCTGAACATGAAGCAAACGGAGGCTTAAAAAGAGGTTCAGGGAAGTTTAAGCATATATGGCTGTGGGTCAAAACCAATGGCACCATTTCGGGGTAGGCGAATTCACCACCCATTTTAGAACCTATTTGAGTGGGAGGATTGGGGGGATTGGGATGTTCACTGGGGGTACGATTTGGATTTTGACCCTTTTTTCCATATGGGTGTGGCTCAAAATTAAACGACCGGAGGGGCAAACCGCAGGTTTTGGTCCATTCCACTTGCCGATCGGGCAACCCATTTTGGAATTCCGTGTTTTTTTTTGAGCCGCAGCCATACAGAAACTGGGCTTCCAAGACCAGGCCCAAGCATCCAGCTCCCGTTGCGGTTCCAACTTGCGCTTGGGCTCGTTGGGGGCCTCTTGCGAAACGATCGCGCTGGATTGTTTTTTTTTTTTTTGAGAAGGTGGCATTCATTCCAGCCCTTCCGAACCAAAAGATGTGGGGTGGTCTCGAAGTATTGAATTTAGGGAATCCTTCTTTTTGGGTTTGGTTTTAAAGAGGAATCAAAGGGAGACCAACCCCCCAGGAATTTGCCTAATTTTGTGGTAGATGTCCTCCTCTGAAGGAGCTCCACTACCCTTGGCTCTCATGTTTATGTACCCTTGGGTTGAATCCTCCAAAAATGGTTTGTCATAAACAAGGGAATGATCAACATCTGTCATGGGTGTGTCTTTTGTTTGGAGGACCACCAAAATGGATTCGGTTTTCGTGTTGGCTTTCCTTTAAACCCACAAGAACGGGCACCCTGAAAAAAGACCGCCATGTGTGTCACAGTTTGTTTGGAACCCAACGGACTGATGTAAGGTCAACTGAGCAGCGCCCAAAACGGTTCATATACTGGCCATAGTGAGTGGTTCGGTTGCTACTTCAAGCAACTTTCGCAGTTTCGTGGAAGAATGATCGACCCCCTCGTAGTGAGGGATTCCTTTTGGAGGGGTCGCGAATTTTCTCACAAACGGTGGCAAGAAGACTCCCCTGGTTTCGTTGGGGTTTTTGGCAAAGCCTGTATAAACCTTTGTGAGCTTCTGCAACCATGTTACTGGAGCCAAAGGGCAGCTCGCGCGAAATTGCAGAGGCACAAAAGTGATGGCTGGTCAATATGCTCCCACAACCGCAACAACAACATTTGCTTAAGAATATGTGTTATTTTCCCTGGTTGGTTTTGAAGGGAATCTATCACCACTGGAATATTTTGCATTTTCCAGGGGGCTGAAGTAAATGGAAGCAACAATTCCAAGCACCACCACAATACTTATGCCTACAACGTGGGTTGGGAAAGGAAAAGAGCAACCCACTTAGAAAGGCAAGCGGTGCCTCTTTTTCTTTTTTTAAGGGTGGCATTGCAGATTCCTTCGCTTACATGTGTTTGCTTGCAGGCGTGTGGTTGTTCTTGCAGGTCAGCTGTGGAGCAAGTCTCGCACTCCCGCAACTTGGCTCGGAAAGGCAGCGGGGGCCCGGTAGCTTCCGAGCCGGACTGAACGGATCGCGCACGGCTCGCTCGCTTTCTGGGACGGTTTTCTATGCAGCCAAGAGCTGCACGTGAGAAAAATGGGCTGATTCCAAGAGAACGCCTGCGAAGTTGGGGCCAAAGCCAGGATTTTGTTTTATCCTGCAAAGCAAGTGGACCAGGCATGGACTTTGCATTCGACCAGTGGTTGTCCTGTCCACCATGATTGTCTTCTATTTGCTGAAGAATATGTTTGATTTCCCCCTGTTGGTTTTCAAGGGGGTCTGTATCTACTGGACAAATTGAGTTTTCCAGGGGACGAAAACGCACACGGAAGTTGCTCAATCTGAAACAAAGCTGCATGTCTTCATGATGAATGCCTCATGGTTTTGCACTTTCGAATGGCCCTGGACGAATCGTGCAGTACAAACCCCACAACGTTTGACTCCACGCATACTTTCAATTCGAGTTCACCCACTTGCCATACACATCACCAATTCACTTTCATCATTTGTTTAAGTACTCGTCCCACTGCTCCAAACTGAGCAAACTACAGTAGTTCATTCTTATGGGGAGGGGGGAGGGAGAGGGAGAGATAGCGAGGGAGCGAGGGAGCGAGGGCCCGAGGGATGGGAGAGGCTGAGGGATGGGAGGGAGGGAGGGAGGGAGGGAGGGAGGGAGGGAGGGAGGGAGGGAGGGAGGACATATTTTGGGAAACTGGATGTCGTGCACGCCAGCAATGGTCAATGTTTACCATAATTCACCGTAGAGGGATGACATGGGCCGCACTCAGCAAAATTCTGCTATAGAGGTACCAACCTCCTCTCTGGGAGAGTGAACATTTGGCTGTTGCTAAGGAGCCGAGCCCAAAACAGCTTCACATTCTAGGGGTTGATTCCGTGTCCATTCTTCTCATTCTCATCGTTCTTTCCAGAAACCGGATCCGTTTCCCTGGATTTCCGGAGGTTTTCTAGAAAGATTCGGATCCCTATCAGAATGGCCATGGGAGGTACCCCTAGATACATGTCTTGTTTCCGCGGTTTTCGGGGAAGGTTTTCATGGGTTTTCATGACGGGCGATGCTTTGGGAGGCCAGAAGTGTGAAATGCGCGGACCTCCGGTGAGCTGCTTCCTTTCACCCCCTACTAAAATAGACAAAACCGAGAAAGTTGGTACCCTTATTCTCACCGCTCTACTGGAGGACCTAGCTTTTCTCCGCTGGAAGCGATGGATTTGGTCGATAGGCCCAGGAATGGCTCAGTGCGGGTGGAGGGGAGTTTGTTTGCAGGGAGGAATCCCCTCAGGGGCCGGGGCTGTGTCCCGATCCCACCGGGGCTTCGTTCTGAGGCGTTTCCCTTTAAACTCTTGTCAGCTCTTTGCTAACACAGCGAAGTGAGCAAAGGAGGACAGAGAAAGGCAAACCATGGCAACAACTTCCAGTTGCATAAGAATATGTTCTTTTCCCCTGTTGGTTTTAAAGGAAATCTATCACTGGATTTTTCCCTGGGGTCGAAGAACCAAATGGAAGCAAAAGCGAGCGGCCTTGGGTTCTGGCCGCGAAACTGTCCATGGGTCACAATCCCGTACCACCAGTGAACATCCCAATCCAACCACTGAAATAAAGCCTAAAATGGGTGGTGAATTCACCTACCAACCAAAATTCGATCCCAAAGCGGTTTTGACAACCACAGCCAACTGTCTGAGGATGGGCGCGGTTTCTGCAGTCCCTGCACCTCGATGAGCGCTTGGAGTTCAACGAGGGCGACGTGGGCCTGGCAGGCGGGAGTCGGTTTTTCTTTCGCATCGGTTTGGCTTGTTGGAGGGTTGCCCGGTTTCGGGTTCCTCGGTTGCCCAGTGGTGCCCTTTTTTCTCACTTCCTGAGTTCAGGAACTTTAAGCTTTTTGGGAAGACCATTTTAGTGGGAAATGTAAAGTTTGGATGTTTTTTGGGCCATCCACTCAGCAAGTGAGTTTTTTGTTTGGCGTAAGGGTTCCCCATTAAACTCAACAAACCAACAAAAAAAGGTGCCCTTTCTTTCCCATTGCCACCAAAGGATCAAAGCGATGCTCAGCGATGCCTTTTGACCTTTACCCGGACCGATGCACATCTCCAGTTAGCCATCATTCCAACTCTATAGTTAAAGCCTCTCACTTTTCATAATTGTTTTTAACTGCACGACGATGTCAACAAACAAGCCGGGAAATGGGAGAGGATGGCAAGATTGTGACACATGCACCTTTTCACGCCAGCACCGGCTTTTTTGCTTGCGCAAGCAGCACTTGCCAGTCGAGAACAAGTGGTGGAGACACGAGATGCAACGCTTGCACTGGCGGCACTGGGTGGTGTTCAGCCCGTTTTGTTCCATGAATCGGACAGCTCCCGGATGAGGGGAAGTATGCAAATGGAGGATCGGATCCCTTCTAGGTCTCCCAGTAGTGTTTTTTTCCTCTGGTCTATTTTAGTAGGGGACCCCTTCCCACAAAAAAAGGCGCCTAGGACTGAATGGTTGAATTTAGTTTTGGATTTATTAATGGTTCTTGCTTATGCCCAGTGATTCCATATATTCCATTTACCTGTAGAGCATTCAATCAAGGGCGTGCCACCCTTTGAAAGCAAAGAGGACAATTGCGAAGGGCTACCTGCTATCGTCTTCATTGCTGTTCGCTTGGATCTTTCGACTGTAACTTGTTGGTTGAAATCTCGGGGGTTTTCCGCATTCTTCCCGCAACAAGTTTAAACAACTTTCTGCGCATTGGGGTCGTTGCAGCCACCAGGTGGTTTCTCGGATCCACCTTTTCTTGTTCCCGGATTTCCGTGGTTGCATTTGAAAGCCAAGGAGGCCCAAGGAGCCAAGAAGGGTTGCCAATTAATCGCCATGGGTCGAAAATTTAAACCACCAGAGGACTAGTCATTGGCTCCATTTGCTCGGGCCTCCACCTATGTTGGTACCTATGTCTGACCCCGAAGCCATGGGGTGTGGTTGACCTGTCCGTGCGCCTTCCGAAGGCGGCATCCAGGTGAACGAGCCCTCCTGGGTGGCCTGGAAGAGCTGAGCTGTGCTGCCTTTTTTTTTTTGGGTCAGACCTCAAAGTACTGGCGCTTGGTTGCGGTGTGCGGATTAAAACTGTTTCAAGAGGGGTGCAGTCGGAAAAAACAAAGAATAATTAGAAACAAAAGGGAAAACAGTACAAAACATGTACATCCACCTAATTTGACACAGACCCATATGGACCCATATGTTGGAAGAGACTCCAGTTTCGTTGAACCAGGGAGTCGTATCTCAGTCATGAGTTTAACGCAAGCGTTGTATCATGAGTTTTGTTGTTGGATGGTTGCAGTCCGCAGCTTGCAGTTGGCCGATCTTTGGACCTTTCAACCGATGGAATAGCCATCCCAAACGCTTGATGGATATGTAGCAAACGGGTTTGGATGCAAACTGTTTTGTGGGTTTCATTTGTTCTTTCCCCGTTGGTCCTTTTTCCCCGTTTTTTTTCTTGTTTTTTTTTTCTCTGAACTCTTGGAGTACCCTACAGGGGTAGATCCACAAAAGCCGAATGCTAGCCGGTTTCTAGATTCCAGAAAAGTCAGAATTGCCATTGGCACAGCTTTCTGGAAACGTATAGCTTTTGCATTCGGGTCACTGCCGACTGCCGGCTGTCTTCGGCAATCCTGGAAGCAGGACGTGAGTTCGGTTCGGACCGCTGATCATGAGTTCCTCGATCGTCTTTTTGTTCGGGCCCGACCCCCAGAATTAGTTATTACCTCTTAAAAACACAACTTTTCAACTTGTTGGGTAACATGGGCTATATGTCTGTAAAAGATTAACTTTTTCAGGGCTTGGAGTTTTAAGGGGTATGGTTTTTTTTTTGTCTTTTCCTTTTTAGATGACTCCCAGTGTTTCCAAGTTACCCCTAAGGCAACCAGCCATTTTCCCGTGTTTTAAAGGGCGGGTTTCTTGGTTGCCTGCCTTTACCAGGTAGACGGAATTTCTGGGGGACACACAAAAGATAGCATCATGAAGGAGGGGCTCCAACTCCTAATTTGAGACGCCACTGGCTGGCATCCCTAGTCTTTCACTTTCCGCTGCGGGGGGTGTCTCGGAGGAAACGGCGGAAACTGAGCAGTCATTGCCAAGGCACATCCCACGACCGCCCCGAGCTCAGCTCAGCAGGTGCTGACTTGGGCTTCTGAAGCAGATAGTGCACACCGACCTGAAAAACACATGTGGGTTTGGCTCAAAATTAAACAGGAGGGGCAAACCGCAGGCTTTGGTCCATGTTTCCACTTACCAGGGTTCCATTTTGGTACCTGTGTTTTGAGCCACATTTGGCTGTGTCTTTTTGTGGTACCCCTTTTAGGCGGTGTTAAAGTGAAACCAGACAGAAAGCTCAAAAATGGGGGGTTCCCCGAAAAAAAAAAATAAAATCTCCTCCGGTGTTTTGGTTTCATTCACTTGGGTCACTGTGACTGAATTTGGGACATGCTCAGATTGCCATCTGGCATGTAGCGTGGGAAGACATCGGACCCGATTCCACGTGCGACACGCGCGGAGCATCAGTCCGTCATCTGAGCCCTCTGGCGTACTGGATCAGCTAGGTGATGCCTCTGAAGGCTTGAAACGACCACTGCCAACTGGGAAGAGGAAGTCTAAGCTCTTTGACTACGACATGCAGCACGCATATGGCCGGGCTGCAACAAGCCCTGGTTGCTCATGTTTTTGTTAATGTTGCCCCTCAGAACTTCCCCCTCAGGTCGACCAGGTCCAGCAAAAAGTGGGAGTGGGATTTTGGAGGGTGTCCGGTCAGCGGCAAAAATTCGAGTCGTCTCCTGTCCTCTCTAAGGCAAATCTTCCTGCCCTCTCTGGCCAATAGGACAGCAATAAAGTAACAAGAAACATAAATTTGGGCGTTGATCAATGTTGATCAATATTCGGTTTAGGGCCCCCAAATGACCATGGGTAACTTTTCCCTGTGGATCTTTTTGGTGGTTTCCCCTCATGGTCATCCCATGTAACGGACCTTTTGATCAACCTCCATTTGTTTTTTGTTTTTTTCCCATGCCATGGAGAAGGTTGTACATCGTGGGGACTGGCCTTCAAGGAGGTTACCCTTTATGAGCTGGTCAAATCTTGGTATCTGAAGCTAAATGTTGTGCCGTTTCTGGCAGGCTGTTGTTTTCTCCCGTTTGGGACAAGCACCCCTTGAGACTCAACGAATGGACAGGCAGAAGCATTGTCTCCTTTTTGCCAAACCTTGTGGGTCCCATTCAAAGTAGTATTGGCTGGCAGTTGGGGGAGGGGGTCAGTCTTTGATATGGGGGGAGTTATAAATCAGGGGTCAACACTAGCTTTCATTCCAGACCCCGCCTCGCAGCTCGAACTGCATGTTCTCTTAGCCAGCTGGATGCTCTTGATTGACAAGCCGAATGTTGCAGACTCGACCCTTCGTACACACTTCGCCAGCCATACATGGTTGGGCCATGAATGCATTGCCATGTTGGACCCTTTGAAGGGCTGGCTTCTTGTAATGAAGCCATGACTAACCATTACAAAACCAATCACCTAGCGGTTCATAGGTTTGGATTCATACACGGCTTCATGTATTCAGCCCCGAGCAGATTTTTTTCCGAAATGGCTCGGGAATCCGGTCGATGTGTGAGCCGCCTCGAAGGCTTGTCCGATTGGTCCAATGGTTTTGCCGATTTTGCACCCTGGGATTGCTTGTGATGGTCATCGGCTGATCTGGGATCATTTCCCTCGGCAATCCCGTGGTTTGATTGGGGAAATCCTCAGATGGTCTGAAATGGAGGTGTTTGTCTCCTGGTGGAGATGGCAATCGTATGGTGGTTTGGAATGGCGTGGGTTTGGATTTTAATTTTTGGCTCTTGAGGACACCACCGCCACCACCGGACCACCGATTCGGCTCCAAACCACGAATTCCATTAGGTAACTGTTGAGGTGGTAGAGGGGGGGAGTTTGACCCCTGGAAGTGACATTCTAGTTCCATTTTATCTTCTGTGGGGAAGACTAGGAGAAGCCCGAATTGGGGGACCCCCATCCTCCCCTCTAAGGTAGGGGGATGTCTCCGATTGACTTCAGCGATGGACGGTGCTTGCTTTAGGTCGACTCCATCCGGCGCTTTGGTGGGTCAACTGCTACCAACATGCCGTGGCCGGAGGAGGACAATCTCCTCACCGATGAGGAGTGTCGGCGGGGGCGGCAATAATGATATGCAAAAAACCACACTACTCCATGCGCCAAATCTCAGCTGCCCAAAGCTCCTTTTTGGTCTAGTTTTAGTCATGACCCCAAAAGGTTAACCTTTTATTTCTGGGTCCTTTGGGCAAGTGAGAAATATTTGTTCCGTATGTGCCTTTCTTGCTAACTCGCCCCGTGAAATGAAGCACTTTATAACACCTGAGCTGTTTTTGAAGACCCGGCCTGGCGCACTGGAAACATTTTTGTGGGTTTGCTGTTGGCTGGGCGAGCAGAGGGAAAACAGCCGCTGGGGCATGTGCTTGGTTTCCATTGAGTCCGAGTTCGGCGCCACGATTGCATGGGCGCTTTCGGCGTAGATGCCTGCAGATGCCTTCGGTGTTTTTTCGTGAAGTAGTTGCTCTCTGGGCCGCCACTGTTTCCCGGTTTACAGTAGATGACACGTATACCAAAACAAATCCTCGCAGAAGCTTTTCCATACTTTTCTTCAGGAGACCCCACCAAATGGCGAAACACGCGTTTTTAAAAACTTCCTTTCAACCAAAATGGCGAAAGGCCTTCAAACTCGGGTTTTAGAGTTGGAAGCTGCTTGAAGTGCTGGCAGACAAGGACAGACTTAGACCTTAATTTCTTTGGGGTTCTTTGAGCTGATTGGGAGAATCACCTTGTAAATCGGATGATAGATGTATTCTCCGGCGGTTCTTCCATTTACCCGGTAGAGGCAGGTAGCCCAGGGCTTGCCAAATCCAAAGAGGACAGTTGCGAAGGGTGACCTACTACCCTCCCACCAACTAACATGGAAGTGCAAAAAGGCCCTTTCCAAGAGGACAGTAGTCTTTCTACACTTCCCCAGAATTAGTTCCCCCTTTTTTCTTGCTTTTTTGGGGTTCCCTTTGTTTTCCCCTGACCAGGCAAAAAAGTCTCTCTCTTTTTGTTTGGTTGGGCTCCGATGTTTCCAGCCAAGTACAGGGGTCTCTACACAAACCTGTGTTCGCTGGTGATCGCCTGGGTTCGTTCAGAGCAACCCTCTCTCTTCTTTTTTTTTCCGGGTCGGATTCGAGGGGGCCCTGGTTCTAGTGCTACCCTCCCCATTTCCATTCTGAACCTAGAAAGATCCGGATCTTTCTAGAAAGTTTTGTCGGAAGCTTAGGGAAACGGATTCGGTTTTTGAGAAAAGAACGGTGTGTTGAAAAGAATGGACACGGAATCAACCCCTAGATTCTTCCGGGATCAACATAGCCCCTGCTTCAAAAGCCCCTTTTGTGGCAGGGTATGATGTCAACCTGCCTAAAACATGAGGTATTCACACACACACACACACCCTTCAAATACCTGTTTGTTTGTCGTTTGTTTGTCTAGAACTCACTTCCTGAGTTCAGGAACTTTAAACTGTTTGGGAAGACCAGTTTAGTGGCAAATGTAAAGTTTGAACTTTTTTTGGGCCATCCACTCAGCAAGTGAGAGAATGGTGGATCCACCGGAAATCCGTCAAACAAGTCCGAGGACCGCTTCGATCGCCTCGAGAAGCTGCTGCTTGAAGCGAACGGAAGTTTTGGGTCGGAGTCGGCTTCGATTTTTTTTTCTGAGAGATCCCATTTCCGTGATACGGTGGATGGACCAAATCCGTTCGCACCAGTTGGCAATCATGGGTTGACCCCATTGTTTCTTGGTATTTACAGGGGAATCATCAGAAACCAGGGATTCTGAGATGGTGCCAAATGGATTTCGTCCATTTCCGTGATAGTTGTTGTTCGTGGCTCTGTTCTGCGTTTCGTTTCGTGGCTCTTGGAAATTTACCATTTGAAAAAAACAATCAATTGCCAATTGCCAATTGGGTTACCTACCGAAAGCCATGGTATTTCTGTACTGTTGCCGCAGAGAGTTAAACACTTTTTGCGGAGGGGTCGTTGCAGCAACCAAGTTGTGGTTGCTTGGATCCGCCAGCATTGTTCCTGGATCTCTGTGTTCTGTTTCGTGGCTGGTGGAAATTTACCATTGAAAAACAAACAATTGCCAATTGGATTACCTACAATCGCCATGGTATGGGTCAAAATGAAGCCGCCGGACCCGTTTCGGGTACCTATTTTTGACCCGCAACCAATTGTGAACTTTGATCTTAAAAGTTGGAACCACCGCAGAAATGGTTGTTGTGTACTTGAATCCCCGCCGAAGTTTGATGCTCACCAAAGGGTCCGCTATTAAAAGTCACAACCATTTACCCTCTGTCCAACAATCCGGAAAGCTGGCAGAAGGAATTGAAAGACTACAGTTCTCCTGATTTCGGGCCCCCTGTCCACTTCCACTATGGCTGGGGGCGAGCCTTTGGCAGATTCGACCTGTTCCTGCGCGGTGGGAACAAGGAAGTCGAGCCTGGTTTGTGTGGGTGTGTGGGTGTGTTTTGGGTGCCTTTGTTGGGATGGCGGGAAACCAAAGGGAAAGCTGTTTCAGGATTCCTGACATCAGGCCGTTGCGCAACAGAGCCAATTGCACGCAAGCGCAAGTGTGGCGCTGTGGCGTTTGCAAGCCTCATATATGTCATAGCAGAGCTGGGATGCAGTCATGATGCACTTGGCTATGCGTGTGTGTGCTTGTTTCTGTGAACATCAAGCCTGGCAACCGCTAGAGTTCCTGGTGCACGGGCGACAGGACCGCGGCATAGCCCAGTGCGAAATGCGGCCGATGCGTCTGCGCGTTTGGGTTCGGCTTTTTTAGGCCGAGGAAAAAGATGTTCCGCTGAAGTCTGCTGGAAGGAAGCAGGGCCACTGGAACCCATTCCGGAGCCAAGAGAGTGGCCCTTTGTGAGAGTGGGCCAAGAGCACGAAGGTTCCTGGCAAACAAAACCTTCCTTGGGGAGTTTGTTTTACCCTGCCAACACAGGTCCATGTTTTCTATTGCCAGAAAGAAGCACTCATGCTCAACTGCTCAACCCATCTATACCTGGGGGTTCTTCCGGAATCCGGGAATCTGGAATCCGAACTGCAATGGGACCAAGGATGATCAAATGCAACAAGAGCAAGAACAAGAAGAAGCGGCACATGAGCGGCGTGAGCAGCGGTGACGTTTCCAAGACCTCCGGATCTGGCGGAGGCTCGGGCCGTTCGTTTCGTTTGCCCCGCGCGTTTTGAACCCGCGTGCGGGTTTTCTTTGGTTTGGGCTGGCCGAAGGTTGACCAAACATCAAGGGTGGAAGCAGGCAGTTGGTTTTTTCTTAGGACCCGAATGATTTTTGCATTTTTGTTTTGCGCGGCTGTTGTTTTTGGGCGGTTGTTAGGACTTTGGCTGAGGGACTCTGTTTAATCAGGGATGTCAAAATCAACCCGAACCACCCCCAGACCCTCTTAGCGTTACGTCTACGGCAATGACCTATTTCGCGATGGGCCGGCTAGCTTTGGCTTTAGCCGAGCTGTACTTTGCTACTTTCCAAAAATCCCACTGCAATCAATATGCACCGAGCTTTGGCTTTAGCCGAGCTGTACTTTGCTACTTTGAAAAAATCCCACTGCAATCAATATGCACCGAGCTTTGGCTTTAGCCGAGCTGTACTTTGCTACTTTTAAAAAATCCCACTGCAATCAATATGCACCGAGCTTTGGCTTTAGCCGAGCTGTACTTTGCTACTTTCAATAAATCCCACTGCAATCAATATGCACCGAGCTTTGGCTTTACCCGAGCTGTACTTTGCTACTTTCCAAAAATCCCACTGCAATCAACATGCACCGAGCTTTGGCTTTAGCCGAGCTGTACTTTGCTACTTTCAAAAAATCCCACTGCAAATAATATGAGCTGTACTTTGCTACTTTCCAAAAATCCCACTGCAAATCAATATGCACCGAGCTTTGGCTTTAGCCGAGCTGTACTTTGCTACTTTGAAAAAATCCCACTGCAATCAATATGCACCGAGCTTTGGCTTTAGCCGAGAATCAATATGCACCGAGCTTTGGCTTTACCCGAGCTGTACTTTGCTACTTTCCAAAAATCCCACTGCAATCAACATGCACCGAGCTTTGGCTTTAGCCGAGCTGTACTTTGCTACTTTCAAAAAATCCCACTGCAAATCAATATGAGCTGTACTTTGCTACTTTCAAAAATCCCACTGCAAATCAATATGCACCGAGCTTTGGCTTTAGCCGAGAATCAATATGCACCGAGCTTTGGCTTTACCCGAGCTGTACTTTGCTACTTTCCAAAAATCCCACTGCAAATCAATATGCACCGAGCTTTGGCTTTACCGAGCTGTACTTTGCTACTTTCCAAAAATCCCACTGCAATCAACATGCACCGAGCTTTGGCTTTAGCCGAGCTGTACTTTGCTACTTTCAAAAAATCCCACTGCAATCAACATGCACCGAGCTTTGGCTTTAGCCGAGCTGTACTTTGCTACTTTCCAAAAACTGCAATCAACATGCTTTGCAATGTACTTTGCTACTTTCACCCACTGCAATCAACATGCACCGAGCTTTGGCTTTAGCCGAGCTGTACTTTGCTACTTTCCAAAAATCCCACTGCAATCAACATGCACCGAGCTTTGGCTTTAGCCGAGCTGTACTTTGCTACTTTCCAAAAATCCCACTGCAATCAATATGCATTTGCACCGAGCTTTGGCTTTAGCCGAGCTGTACTTTGCTACTTTCCAAAAATCCCACTGCAATCAATATGCACCGAGCTTTGGCTTTAGCCGAGCTGTACTTGGCTACTTTCGAAAAAATCCCACTGCAAATCAATATGCACCCAGCTTTGGCTTTAGCCGAGCTGTACTTTGCTACTTTCCAAAAATCCCACTGCAATCAATATGCACCGAGCTTTGGCTTTAGCCGAGCTGTACTTACTGCAAATCAATATGCACCGAGCTTTGGCTTTAGCCGAGCTGTACTTTGCTACTTTCGAAAAAAGTCCCACTGCAAATCAATATGCACCGAGCTTTGGCTTTAGCCGAGCTGTACTTTGCAACTTTCGAAAAATCACACTGCAATTAATACCCAGAGAAACACGCCCAAAGGCTTAAAACCGGAACTTAGATGGAGCCCAGTGGCTTAGGATAAAGGCGCCTCAACTTGTCTTGTGCTTGGATGCGTCTGGCCTTTGGACCGACCAAATGGTGAAGGCTTTCTCATGGAAGTCGCGACTTTTGCAGTTTGAAATCTTTCCCTCCCAATTAACAGCCGGAACCTGACGTTCGGGAGGCCCTTTTTCCTTTTTAAAGGGACCCCCGGCCAGGTTCCATGCGAAAAGGGCGGGAGGGTACGGTGATTCCTCTAGATATCATTTTGGGACCAACACTGGTGTGAACCCCTTTTTTGTTGGTCGTCGGGCAGAACGCCTTGCCAGATGGACCATTGTTGACTAGGACATGTGCCAACAAACAGCAGCAGCAGGTAAGCAGATCTCGAGGTTCGATTGTCCCAACCCAAAATGGTCCCAAAAAACGTGGAGCCCTCAACAACGGGTTGACCTTTCATGGACCAGGAAGAAACTTTTAGAGATCCAGGTCGACTAAAAGGAACATACTGACAGGGTTCCAAATCCAGTTTGAGAAACTCCTTATAGACCCAGGTGTCCCCTCGCAGATCCAAGTTGCCACTTAGGCAACCCTTCCAAATTCGCAATGTTCCTCCTTGCTTCTAAAGGGCTCGTTCCCTGGCTTGCCTTTGAGCAATGGAGTCAGGTAAAGCGAGTCGGGGTGAATTGAAGCTGCCGACGAACTCGAAGTTTCCAAAGAAGCGGATTGATGGAGAGACACCTTTGGTAGGCACGGCCAGGTGGCACCGACACGATTTTCTTTTTTGAGACAGGCCCATTATTCCCTATGCTTCCAAAGCCTATTAAAAACATAGGGGTTGAACAACCCCTATTTTAAACATAGTCGGGAAGCATAGCTATTGCAAGAACCGTTTTTTTATTTTATTTTTTAATGAGACGCCCCCGAACTTGCAAGCCAAAGAGCCAAAGAGCCAAAGGCGAAGCTGAGGAACCTTTGATTTTCTCTTCAGGCTGAGGGGCCCGCCAAAAAAAATGCTTCTTGCCACTGGCCACGGTGGATTTTGTCGAACTCCATGTCGCGCCACCCAAGAGACCCAGGAATGATACTGTGGATGGTTGCGAAATCCATTTCGCACCACTTTGAAACCATGGTTGAAACCATTGTTTGTTGGTATTTACAGGGGAATCAACATTCCAGGGTTTCTTAGGTGGTGCAGGATTTTGTCCGTCCACAGTACCAACGTAACTACCAACAAACCTTCGGATTTCAATCCCGCGGTTTCATTTCCGGGTTGTGGGATCAAGGGGTTCATCCCCTCTGAAGGTTTCCCTGTAACTACGAACAATCGCGGTTCCGCTGAAATCTCATTTCGTGGTGCGATGTCTGGAGTTCGCGTCACCACAGTACGGGATGTGAGCCACATTCAAACACCCGGGCACAGGAAGGTTAGTAAGGGACACTCCCAAGCATAAATAGCCGCGGCCGCCTTCTTGATTCTTTACATGCTGGGATTACGACCATTTTAATGCCAGGTGTTGATCATGACTCTCTGGAAAGCAGCATGGGTCTCTTTCTTCTTCTTTTTTCTCTGAGGTACCCGTCTCTAAAATAAATAAATAAAAAATCGGGAAACCGAAACGAAATCCACCATTTGGGGGGTCTGAAAAAGAGACCCGCATAGCTGTCAAGACCTCAGACATCTCAGCCCTCCCCGGCCGACCTCCCATCCCGGCGCCTTCGAAGGCTCCTGGAGCTCCAACTCCAGCGACTCCCATGACAGCTCGGAGCGCTGAGGCGCCGGGGAGAACGCCGGGTGATGGGACGCCGGGAGATCCGGCGATGGCTCGGATGGGACGATGGCTCGGACTGGATGGGTAGGAAGTTGCCCCCCCCCCAAAAAAAAATGGGTGTGGCTCTCTTTTTTGAGGTTGGAGCCTCCAAACTGGCTTCGGTTTGGTTCTTGGTTTCCCTTGAAAACCAAAAAGAAGAAGGTGCCCTAACAAAGCCACACCCAAATTGGCTGGGAGCGGGTGATTTGCGGCTTATCAACTTTGGGGCCAAGTGTTGCAGGTCCAATTTTTGGTGGGGGAATGTAGGAAGAGGGACAAGAGGCTTCCAGTTTCTGAATAAAAAGAAGTGTTTTGCTTCCCATGTCGGTTTTTAAGGGGATGTGTCAACTGGCCATGTGCTCATTTGGTTCAGGGGACCAAAAGCGCCGGAGGGAGGCACTGGGACCATTTACCCACTTGACCACGGATAGGGGTGCAGCATGGCGGTTCTCAATCGAGCGAGAGGGACTCTTCCCCTTCTTACAATTTCCCTCTCCCTATCATCCCTTCCCACCTATCCACTTCCAAGCCTATCAATCATCAACAGTGGATAGGGAAGGGGATAAGGGATGAGTGAGGGAATGGTAAGAGAAGTGGGAGATAGAAGGTTTATTTGGCATGGGTCCAAGTCTTCAGCCACCAGGCTATGGACCGCAGGTGTTACAAAAGGGGTTAGTCTTCGGGAAGCCTTTTTTTCTGTTGTATCATCGCAGTGGGTTCCGTTTCAACCACAGCCCATGTTACGCTTGGGACCAGGCTCAGTTGTTTCCGAGACGGGACCATGTGGACATGTGAGAGGGGGAGCCGGCAAAGACGCCTTGAAAATGGATCAACATGTAAGAGGGGGAGCCGGCGGAGAAGCCAGACCAGATGACCAATTGTAAATCATGGATACAGGGTTTAAGGAGGCTTTTTTTTGTCTCACAATAGTAATGCCATCATGATTCAGCTTCCCCCTAGTTGGTGGTTTGGATTGGTGGTTTGTTTTCCCATTTACCCTCAGGTTCAAATCCGAATCCAAACCACCAATCCATGCTACCAACTAAGGGTTGCCTGCGAAAATGGTTTGGTGGAAGCTTGATCTTGGCCTTTCCTGCTTGTCCATCCAGACGAGTCCACTTAGCACTTGCTGGTTGCGAACCTCTGAGTCGATTCCGCCCGACGGATATTTGTGACCTCAACCTAGGTTACCCACTTGTAAGTCCCCCCCTTCAGTGCCTAGGTCCCCCAGCTAGGTGCCCTTCTCTCCCCGTTGTTGGGGAAGGTTCCCCTACTTAGATTGACTACAGAAAAAAAGGGTACCCTTGTTCTAACCTCTTTAGTGGAGGACCTAGGTGCTCTAAACTTTGTTAGGTGGTGACGCAAATTCGAATCGAACATCCAAGGAGTTGCCGGAACACGGGGAGACTCTGAGTCATATTTCAGTGGGGGGTCCTTTCAGACCAAACTGCCCCAAGAGCCGCGGCTCAGCCGCAGCTCAATTGCACTTTTCGTCGCTGCAAAATTGTAAGCCCGAAAGCGGTTTGGGCCCGAAGGTGCGTGGAAGAGGATTCCCCACCTGCAGAGAAATTGCAAAGAACGAGTCGGCAGCTTTTGATTTAGGGGAATCCCATAAGGAGGGGTGGTCCAAGGGGGGGGGGCGTTCCCTAAGGCTCCTAAGCAACAAAAAGGGAACCCGAAGGAACTCGAAACGGACTACCAACGACCAACCCCCTTGTACCTGGCCCTCTTTGGGATTCCATCTTGGAGTGTCTTACAAAATTGGGTGGGCCGCTGCCAGTTGCACGGCCAAGGACAAAAACATCCCAGATGGGGACGAACCTTTAACCTTTGGAGTGTTTTTCACTCAGAAGCCAAGAGAACGCCCACCACTTGGAATTCCCATCACCAAGCCCCACATTTTCGAGACAAAAAAAAATACCAAGAGCTATCGTTCCTTTGGTTCATTTTGCCAAGGGATGTTAGGACTTTAACTTTTTGCCAACGAAGAGGGGCTTTCCATTAAACCACTAGAAGTTAAGCTTTTAGCAGGGGAGCAAAGAGCAACTGAGGTTCTAGGAGTTGATTCCCATTCGATTCACCCATCCTTCTCTTCAGACGCCTCCGTGTCCGAGCGCTTCGAACAGAAGGATCCCTGAATGGAACTGGCAGCTGCTCGAACTCTTCCGGTGAAGTCCTTTGGGCAAGTCCGAAGAAACCAGAACGGAAGATGCCCAGATTTGGCGGTTGGTGCCTGGATCACCAGTGGCTGTGTGTTTGTTTTCTTCCATGCACTTTACCCCAAAAACCAGCAACAGTGACTGAAAAAGCGGCAACGTGGCTATCTAGGTGGTTCCCTTATGCCCGCTTTTCTTGGGTGGTTTTGCCCTGGAAGAGAAGGCGCTCCTTGCATGTTGCCTTGTGGACATCAGCGCGCCAGGCGAGCGAATCGATCGCCTTGGAGGCCCGGTTTTGAGGTTTCACCGCCCGGCTGTGGTTGCCAAAGTGGGCACAGGTCGGAGGTGCAATCATTGCCAGTGCAATCCCCACTTTTGGCCATGTTTGGCATTGCTTGGGTGTTCGAGTCGCCAAATGAGTTTGTTGGAACGGTCACCTAGTTTACCCACTTCAAAGTCCCCCGTTCAGGGGGTTAACCTTGTTATCAGAGGTCAAGAGTACCGAACTCGGCGAATCGAACATCCAAGTAACAAATGGCTGCCTCGCCATTCGTGGCATGAGCGAGGGTTTTGCTCGCGACCGGGCTCCGAAACTTTTCGCGCAGGCGAGATTTTCAGAGAAGTCTCCCCAGGAACCTGCGGATGAAGCACGGCCTTTTCGTTCTCAAATGGGTATCGGTCAAAGTTTTCAGCAACCAGGATATGGCCGGCAGGCTTTAGTCTTCAGTTCTATTTGTGCCATTTTGGGTACCTTTTGGTTTGACCCGCAGCTAAATAACAGCTCATCACCAAACAGACCTACACACCTCACAGTAACTCCGGATTACTTGTGAAGGTCTCGAGTAGATCTGGAGATCCTGACACCCTGTAACATCCCAAGACTGCAACGCCTTAGCCATGAGAAACCCGCGAGAAGCTAACAGCTAGCAGCCCAATGTCCAGTTTTCTTCAACTCGGCTATGGCCTCGTTGACACTAGGTGTCGGAAGCCGACCTTCAAAGGTTGGCTTCCTTGTATCTTGGTTTAACCAGCCTAGGGTGCCTTTCTCTCCCCTTTTTTGGTTGGGAGGGTTCCCCTACTCAAATAGACAAAAAAGAAAAACATCGGGTACCAACTTGTTCTAACCTCTGGAGGACCTAGTTGTATCTTTAACCAGCTCTCCACTTCCTTAGGTTTTTAGTTTTTAGGGTTTAGTGGCTGGAAATCCATTCAACCCACAAGTTAAACTATCTAGCAGGGGATCGGAGGACGGAAGATGGTTTGCGCCCAGCCTGAGTCGTTGTGTCAACTTCTGGTGCGGGACAGTGGATTCTGGGTTTGGTCACTAGAGAACGCGGCAGTGAACAAACACAGGAGCATTGGCTTTGTTTGCAGAAAGTGGTTGTGTCGAAGCTTTTACGTTTGTAAGGAACGTCTGTTTGTAAGGAATTGGGTTGGTTTTATTCGACATGCGATGTTTCTCATTGCCAGGTGCAAACAGTGAAGACCCAGCTCAAAGTTGGATGGAGTGGCAACTAGGTCCCCCAGTAGTGCCCTTTGGCTCTGTCTTGGGAGTTCCCCTACTAAAATAGACTACACGCCAGCGCGAGCTGGGAAATCGTCTTCCCGTACCATGGTATCAGGGTTTGCTGGCATTGGTTTGGATTGCTTGGATTTGGATTTGAAGCCCTCTCTTGCTTGGTGGCCCCGAGCCGTCCGGTCCCTTAGCTTTTTAGCCTTTTAGTGTTTAGTGGTAGTTTCCATTTGGCCCACTAAAAGTTAAACTTTTAGCTGGGATCTGAGGGCGCCCAGCTTGGGGATACGTGGGAATTCCCGAACTTCCAAAGCAATGGCGGAAAACTCGGTTGGATCCTTCCCTTCTTCATGCCTTCACTCCTCGCCTTTGAAACCCAATGTCTAGAGACGCAGCCTGCCCCACAAGCACCTGGTTTTAGCCTAGGTCGCTTCTGATTCCTGAAACTTGAAACGTCCTTCGTGGCTTCATTGGGTTTATCGACCTGAGTGGTTTGCGAGTTGCATTCAGTCCCACCCTTGCTTTATCCGAGTCGATGAATGGACACCATCAGAAGCATCTGGGCTGGAACCAGGGATGCCTCAGGTAGAATTCAGTACAAGTGCATTTCCTCGCGAATTCAGCTGACATGCCTCATGAAAGAAGGTTTCTTACAAGCAACAACTAAGGATGCTGTCGAGACTCCATGGTGAGAACATCGCTGGGCAAGTCATTGGAAGCTGAGGTAGGCAACCCAGTCCATGTTGAAAGATTTGGCAAGACATGAAATCGTGCGATGCCGCGCCGGGAGCGCGGCGGTTCTTCTTGTTGGTTGTTTTTTTTTCCCTTAGCTGTGCATGTGCGCTACAAATTAGGCAATCCGAAGTATAGACAGTGCCTTCTGGCCTTGGATCCGGCCTTGGATCTGATTTGATCGGAGCATTTCTTGGCATAGCGCGCGGACATGAAAATTAGCCACAGGCCGACTCTATTCACTTTGTCCAGGATCCTAAGTCTGATACCACAAACCACTTCGCCTTCAATGGGTTTTGTCTCATGACGCATTCAATCCCCGTCACAGACTGGGAACTTCTCCGCCAGCTTTCTTGAGAGCCATGGCCATTGATTCCCGAACCAACGGCCTGTTTCTAGAGAGCTCTACTCTCCAGCTCAGCTGAGAGCTCTTCACCAAGTTTCGACATGGCTCAATTTGCTTGCAGGCATCAACTCAGGGACCAGTCGATTTTTTCTTCAGGATGGTGCGGATCAATGCACAGGATTTGCGGCAATCTTTTGTTCAGCTGGATGGTGCGAGCTTTGTAGCTGACAGCAGTGGCGGGTGAGCTGAATTTGCCGGGATAGGCTGGGCATACGACCCTCTCGCGGCCAGCGGGGATCTGAGACCTTTTTTTTATCGGGCCTGCTGGATTGGAATCAGCCGGGTTCTCCCAATCTCTTGGGTTCCACCAGCCACCCGGTGGAGTTTTTCTCGGATTCGTAGTTGGTGTGCTTGGATTTCCAGGGTTAAGACACTACCCGGGCATCCGGTTTCTTTGGGTTGCAGATGTTTAGGGTCCATTGAAGACACCAACACTTGCTTTTCTAAAAAAAAAAAAAAACGGAAGAAGAACATGTTGCAGGTCAGAGGTGCAGAAACCATCAGTCATCTTCCCCATTCGATCCAACCGGGCCTCGTAGAGATCCCCTCTGTCCGAATTCGTCTTGCGCGGCACAAATGTTTTAATTCCCATTTGCTTAAGATTGGCACATCTTCACACCAACGTTGCTGGTCAAGGGAATCGATTTCAGTAAGAAGATGGACAAATGTTCAACCCTCTTGGTGTTCAAGGGAATCGATTTCACAAAGAAGATGGACACATGTTCACATCGGTTTCTGGGTGTTCAAGGGAATCGCTTTCACTAAGAAGATGGACGCAATTTCACATCTGTTGGTCTTAAAGGGAATCAATTTCACAAAGAAGATGGACACAATTTCACATCTGTTGGTCTTAAAGGGAATCGATTTCACAAAGAAGATGGACACAATTTCACATCTGTTGGTCTTAAAGGGAATCGATTTCACAAAGAAGATGGACACACTTTCACATCTGTGGGTCTTAAAGGGAATCGATTTCACAAAGAAGATGGACACAATTTCACATTTGTTGGTCTTAAAGGGAATCGATTTCACAAAGAAGATGGACACAATTTCACATCTGTGGGTCTTAAAGGGAATCGATTTCACAAAGAAGATGGACACAATCTCACATCTGTTGGTCTTAAAGGGAATCGGTTTCACTAAGAAGATTGGCAAATGTTCAACCCTCTTGGTGTTCAAGGGAATCGATTTCACAAAGGGAATCGATCTCACTACTGGACCTATGGGACCCCATTTTTGTCCAGGGGACGAAAAAGCAAATGGATGGTGAGGTCTTATGAGTCCACAAGCGCTCTGAGATTGATCTGCGAGGGAATCTCCCTCGACTTGTTATTTGCCCAATCTGAGGAGTGCCACGCTTGTGTCATTAGAAAGGGCGCGCAGATTGGGCCACCATCAAAACCCGGGTAGATGAAGGTTAAGGGGCAGTCCCAGCCAGAAATAGTTGCGGATATCCGCCTTCTTAATTCTTGAGGCATGGTTCTGGGATTACGACCATTTTAGTACCGAATCGGTTTTGAGCAAGTGACTCGATGGATTCCTGCGGGCAAGCCTTAGTTGCCGGCTTGGATTGGGATTGGAACCCATCTAGGTCCCCCAGGATCGTGCCCTTCTCTCCCGTTTTTTTTTGGGGGGGGTTGGGAGGGTTCCCCTACCGTTTCTTTTTTGGTTGGGAGGGTTTTCGGGTGACCTTATGCTAAGCTCTCAAATCTGGAGGACCTAGCCATTCTTGTAGAGAGAACATGGGAAACCACCCAGAACCTCCATGCCGCAAGGCTCCAAACC